AAGTTGCTTCTATCAATGAAATGATTGAAAACGATTTTTATTTCTATGCACATGAAGGAATGATTGACATTCTTTTGGGTCTACCAGCAATCAGAGAAAGGTTCAAAATATTAAATTTATTATTCATTTTTAGTGTAATATAAAAGTTCTCAATATTATTACAGAGTCAGAGAGTTGAATAGTGAAGATTTGCCGGAATTTCTTAAGGAAATACGGACGAATCCAAATTTTAAAGCCGCCTACGCTGATGCATTATTACAAAGATATCTCAATTTCAAGAACTCAGATGAATCTCAACACATTTGCAAGGAAGCTTTTGCGACTAACTTGCCAGTTGTGATTTACTCATTGACAGATTTTTATCTCTTGAATGCTTTGAATGAGAAAATACTTGAAATGATTAAAGCAGGTTTGATCGATCAGTGGAAACGTGAAAGCTTTCGTCAGAATGTTCGACATGTACAAGAATCTATTGAACCAAAAGTTTTAACAGTGGATGATTTAGAAGGCAGCTTCTTAATTCTCATGTTTGGATGTTTGCTAGGCTTTATTGCTTTCCTTTGTGAAAAGTTTTTATTGTAGTTTGATTTATATGTGGGTGATAATTTGTCAGAAGAGATTTTAATGTTTTTCCTAAATGTTTTAATAGCAACAGATGAATAAATATTCGTTATTTGACACCTCAAAGCATAAAGCTTGAATCAAGTTCCATTGGTAATAATGAGCGATATATATATATAAACGTTTTCTTGTGAATTAAATCTCAATTTAAAAATTTTGATAAGTTTTGCTGTGTTCATGTAGGATTTTATACATTGTTTCATATAACTAAATTTCGATTACAATCACGCTGAGTTGGTCGCTTGAAGGGCATTAGTGAAGGCACTGAATATACATGTAAGAAGACTCAAAGTTCATTTATTAATTGAATTAATACTTTTCATTCTTCCATCCGTTGACTGATGATTGATTATTTATTCTACTCAATTTTTTTGTGTGCCACTAACTTTCATTAGAAGGATTCAAACTCTCAGAGTAATTTATTCGTTCGGCTAGTCGTTCACTTTTCTTTCAATAGAAAGCATGAAGATTCAAATTCTCGTAACTCTTTTTATAATTTCTATTAACTATGTTTGTGCTGAGAATCAAAGCCGATATTCGATACTTGCCGAAGCTCTTGAAGAATATTTATCATCAAGAGCTTCAACAAGAACTGCGAGTCTCACTTTGGAACGAGATGGAGATAATTTTCAAGCTACTTATGAAGTGAAAGACTTTTTGGATGAATTTTTGAAAAAGAAATTTACAATTCCAAAGATTGGCATTCGAATTGAAACTTTTGCAGTTCCAACAGAACACAAAAGAGTTTTTCAAACATTTATTGTATCATCTTATGAAGGATTATCAAGGATTCTTAATGAGAGATCATTGAAGGNCAGTTTTCATTGGCGACACTCTCAACAATTTACCGAAACGAAACTTTGCGAGATTTCTTCTCATGAATTTCATAATCTTCACGCTTATTATTCGAACTGTTTATCAAGGCTCATATTTTCGTCAAATGCGGACCTTCAGACATCATAAGAAAGTTGCTTCTATCAATGAAATGATTGAAAACGATTTTTATTTCTATGCACATGAAGGAATGATTGACATTCTTTTGGGCTTTCCAGCAATCAGAGAAAGGTTCAAAATATTAAATTTATTATTCATTTTTAGTGTAATATAAAAGTTCTCAATATTATTACAGAGTCAGAGAGTTGAATAGTGAAGATTTGCCGGAATTTCTTAAGGAAATACGGACGAATCCAAATTTTAAAGCCGCCTACGCTGATGCATTATTACAAAGATATCTCAATTTCAAGAACTCAAATGAATCTCAACACATTTGCAAGGAAGCTTTTGCGACTAACTTGCCAGTTGTGATTTACTCATTGAGAGATTTTTATCTCTTGAATGCTTTGAATGAGAAAATACTTGAAATGATTAAAGCAGGTTTGATCGATCAGTGGAAACGTGAAAGCTTTCGTCAGGGTGTTTTAAATGTGCAAGAATCTATTGAACCAAAAGTTTTAACGGTGGATGATTTAGAAGGCAGCTTCTTAATTCTTATATTTGGATGTTTGTTAGGCTCCATTGCTTTCCTTTGCGAGAAGTTTTTATTGTAGTTTGATTTATATGTGTGTTAATATGTCGGAAGAGATATTAAAGTTTTTCCTAAATGTTTTAATAGCAATTGACAAATAAATATTCGTAATTTGACACCTCAAAGCATAAAGCTTATTCAAGTTCCATTGGTGACAATGAGTTGAATAAATAAATACACGTTTTCTTGTAAACTTAATCTTAATTTTAAAAAATAGGGTAATCGAACAATTGTGAACACAGTAAAAAACGAGGACAGTTGTGAAAGTACCTAATTTCGAATCCGGTTTTATATGCTGTTTTGCATTTTCTTGGCTAAAAACTCTTCAGAGAAGTACTTTGGACTATTGTCCTTACTTCCTTGAAAAGTTATAAAAATCAGTTGTGTTCACAATTGTCCTCGTTTTCAACTGTGTTCACAATTGTCCGATTACTCTATCTTAATGTGATAACTTCTGCTGTGTTTATGCTGGAATTTATAATTTATTTTTAATCACTAAATTACGATTTCTATCACGCTGAGTTGGTTCCATGAAGGACATTTGAGAAGGCACTAAATATACAAGCAAGAAGAAAACTCAAAGTTCATATAATAATTAAAATTAATACTTTTAATTCTTCCATCCATTGACTGATGATTGATTATTTATTATACTTAATTTTTTGTGTGCCAATAACTTCCATTAGAAGGATTAAAATTCTCAAATTAATTTAGTCGTTCGGCTAGTCGTTTACTTTTCTTTCAATAGAAAGCATGAGGATTCAAATTCTCATAACTTTTTTAATAATTTCTATCAATTATGTTTGTGCTGAGAATGAAGGCCGATCTTCGATACTTGCTGATGCTGTTGATGAATATTTATCAACAAGAGTTTCAAGAAGTACTGCGAATTACATTTTGGAACGAGATGGAGACAGCTTTCAAACTACTTATGAAGTAAAAGACTTTTTGGATGAATTTTTGAAAAAGAAATTTACAATTCCAAAGATTGGCATTCGAATTGAAACTTTTGCAGTTCCAACAGAACGCAAAAGAGTTTTTCGGATTTTTATTGTATCTTCTTATGAAGGATTAACCAGGATTTTTAATGAGAGATCATTGAAGGATATTCTACTTAATGGACATTTCTTAATAATATTACCAAAATGCGAAAATCATGATTTTGAGAAATTTTTCGATTTTCTATGGAATTTGAGAATTGTTAATGTCAACATAATTTGCGCAAAAACAAACCAATCAGTTTCAGTGTTTTCTTTCATGCCCTTCACACAAAATAATTGCCGAGACACTAAACCAATTCTCATTAATCAATATCAAAACGGAAAATTTATTAAACCATCGAATTTCTTTGATCCTTTGAAGATTAAAGACATGAAAGGCTGTCCGGTACGAGTGGCTCTAACAAACAGTTCTGAGGCAGTTTTTTACACCTCCATGGAGAAAAATAAGAACAAAATATGTGGACCAGATATCAAACTTATCTCAACTTTGTCCAAGGCATTAAATTTCAAGTTGAATTTTACTTTTATTGGTCACAGTGGATTTTTATTTGAAAATGGAACATCAGAAGGACCATTTAGAGTTTTGCTGGACGAAAATGCTGATTTGGCCGTAGGATACTGGTGGCTTAAGACAGTTCGAATGAAATTCTTTAGTAGCACAGTTTCATACGCTCAACAACCGTTGATTTTTATCATCCCACCAGGAAAACCAGTGACACATTTGGAAAGGCTCATCTCAGCTTTCAGTCTTCAATCTTGGATCTGTATCGGATTATTTTACCTGATCGGAAGTTTAGTGATATTATTTGTTCAGTTGAAATCTCCTTGCGTTCAAGAATTTGTTTTTGGGGCTGGTGTGACAAGTCCAATGTTTAGAATGTTCTCAGTTTTCATTGGCGACACTCTCAACAATTTACCGAAACGAAACTTTGCGAGATTTCTGCTTATGAATTTCATAATCTTCACGCTTATAATTCGAACTGTTTATCAAGGCTCATATTTTCGTCAAATGCGGACCTTCAGACATCATAAGGAAGTTGCTTCTATCAATGAAATGATAGAAAAATATTTTTACTTCTATTCAAATCCAGGAATGATTGACATTCTTTTGGGCTTACCAGCAATCAGAGAGAGGTTAAAAATATTAAATTTTTTATTCATTTTTAATGATATAAAAGTTCTCAATATTATTACAGAGTCAGAGAGTTGAACAATGAAGATTTGCCGGAATTTCTTAAGCAAATAACGACAAATCCAAATTTTAAAGCAGCCTACGCTAATGCATTGTTATTCACAGATTATCTAAATTTAAAGAACTCAGATGAATCTCAACACATTTGCAAGGAAGTTTTTGCGACTAACTTGCCAGTTGTGATTTACTCATTGACAGATTTTTATCTCTTGAATGCTTTGGATGAGAAATTAATCACAATTATAAAAGCAGGTTTGATTGATCATTGGACACGTGAAAGCTGTCGTCAGAATGTTCGAAAAGTACAAGAATCTATTAAACCAAAAGTCTTAACATTTGATGACTTAGAAGGCAGCTTCTTAGTTCTCATATTTGGATGTTTGTTAGGTTTCATTGCTTTCCTTTGCGAGAAGTTTTTATTGTAGTTTGATTTATATGTGGGTTAATATGTCAGAAGAAATATTAATGTTTTTCCTAAATGTTTTAATAGCAATTGACAAATAAATATTCTTAATTTGACACCTCAAAGCATAAAGCTTATTCAAGTTCCATTGGTGATAATGAGCGATATAAATAAATATACGTTTTCCTGTAAACTTAATCTAAATTTAAAAAATATTTCAATATTGAGATGATAAGTGTTGCTATATTTATGTTGGAATTTATACATTGTTTTAAATAACTAAATTTCGATTACTATCACGCTGAGTTGGCTTCTTGAAGGACATTTGAGAAGGCACTAAATATGCAAGTAAGAAGAAGTCTTAAACTTCATTAATTAATTGAAATTAATAGTTTTAACTCTTCCATCCGTTGACTGATGATTGATTATTTATTCTACTTAATTTTTTTGTGTGCCAATAACTTCCATTAGAAGGATTAAAATTCTCAAATTAATTTATTCGTTCGGCTAGTCGTTCACTTTTCTTTCAATAAAAAGCATGAGGATTCAAATTCTCCTAACTCTTTTAATAATTTCTATCAATTATGTTTGTGCTGAGAATGAAAGCCGATCTTCGATACTTCCCGATGCTGTTGAAGAATATTTATCAACAAGAGTTTCAAGAGGTACTGCGAATTACATTTTGGAACGAGATGAAGACAATTTTCAAACTACTTATGAAGTGAAAGATTTTTTGGATGAATTTTTGAAAAAGAAATTTACAATTCCAAAGATTGGCATTCGAATTGAAACTTTTGCAGTTCCAACAGAACGTAAAAGAGTTTTTCGAATATTTATTGTATCTTCTTATGAAGGATTAACCAGGATGTTTAATGAGAGATCATTGAAGGATATTCTACTTAATGGACATTTCTTAATAATATTACCAAAATGCGAAAATCATGATTTTGAGAAATTTTTCGATTTTCTATGGAATTTGAGAATTGTTAATGTCAACATAATTTGCGCAAAAACAAACCAATCAGTTTCAGTGTTTTCTTTCATGCCCTTCACACAAAATAATTGCCGAGACACCAAACCAATTCTCATTAATCAATATCAAAACGGAAAATTTATTAAACCATCGAATTTCTTTGATCCTTTGAAGATCAAAGACATGAAAGGCTGTCCGGTACGAGTGGCTCTAACAAACAAGTTTGGTGCAGTTTCTTATTCTGCAACTGACAAAAATAAGAAAAGAATAAGCAAACCAATTATCAAACTTATCTCAACTTTGTCTGAGGCATTAAATTTCAAACTGAATTTTACTTACATGGGCTATAAAGGATTTTTTTTTGAAAATGGAACATCAGAAGGGCCATTGAGAGTTTTGTTAGACGAAAATGCTGATTTGGCCGTAGGAAATTGGTGGCTTAAAACAAATCGCTTGAAATTCTTCAGTAGCACAGTTTCATATGCTCAACAACCGTTGATTTTTGTTGTCCCACCAGGAAAACCAGTGACACATTTGGAAAGACTCATCTCAGCTTTCAGTCTTCAATCTTGGCTCTGTATCGGATTATTTTACCTGATCGGAAGTTTAGTGATATTATTTGTTCAGTTGAAATCTCCTTGCGTTCAAGAATTTGTTTTTGGGGCTGGCCTGACAAGTCCAATGTTTAGAATNCATGCCATTCACAAAAAATAATTGCCGAGACACTAAACCAATTCTCATTAATCAATATCAAAACGGAAAATTTATTAAACCATCGAATTTCTTTGATCCTTTGAAGATTAAAGACATGAAAGGCTGTCCGGTACGAGTGGCTCTAACAAACAGTTCTGATGCAGTTTTTTACACTTCAATTGAAACGAGTAAGAACAAAATGTGTGGACCAGAAATCAAACTTATCTCAACTTTGTCCAAGGCATTAAATTTCAAGTTGAATTTTACTTTTATTGGTCACATTGGATTTTTATTTGAAAATGGAACATCAGAAGGACCATTTAGAGTTTTGCTGGACGAAAATGCTGATTTGGCCGTAGGAAATTGGTGGCTTAAGACAGATCGTTTGAAATTCTTCAGTAGCACACATTCATACGCTCAACAGCCGTTGATTTTTATCATCCCACCAGGAAAACCAGTGACACATTTGGAAAGGCTCATCTCAGCTTTCAGTCTTCAATCTTGGATCTGTATCGGATTATTTTACCTGATCGGAAGTTTAGTGATATTATTTGTTCAGTTGAAATCTCCTTGCGTTCAAGAATTTGTTTTTGGGGCTGGTGTGACAAGTCCAATGTTTAGAATGTTCTCAGTTTTCATTGGCGACACTCTCAACAATTTACCGAAACGAAACTTTGCGAGATTTCTGCTCATGAGCTTCATAATCTTCACGCTTATAATTCGAACTGTTTATCAAGGCTCATATTTTCGTCAAATGCGGACCTTCAGACATCATAAGGAAGTTGCTTCTATCAATGAAATGATAGAAAAAGATTTTAATTTCTATGCAAATCCAGGAATGATTGACTTTCTTTTGGGCTTTCCAGCAATCAGAGAGAGGTTAAAAATAATAAATTTCTTATTCATATTTGAAACAATAAGTTCTCAATGTTATTCCAGAGTCAGAGAGTTGAATAATGAAGATGTGCCGGAATTTCTTAAGCAAATAACGACAAATCCAAATTTTAAAGCCGCCTACGCTAATGCATTGTTAATAAAAGATTATCTAAATTCAAGAAACTCAGATGAATCTCAACACATTTGCAAGGAAGTTTTTGCAACTAATTTGCCAGTTGTGATTTACTCATTGACAGATTTTTATCTTTTGAATGCTTTGAATGAGAAAATAAACGCAATTATAAAAGCAGGTTTGATTGATCATTGGACACGTGAAAGCTGTCGTCAGAATGTTCGAAAAGTACAAGAATCTATTAAACCAAAAGTCTTAACATTTGATGACTTAGAAGGCAGCTTCTTAATTCTCATATTTGGATGCTTGTTAGGCTTCATTGCTTTCCTTTGCGAGAAGTTTTTATTGTAGTTTGATTTATATGTGGGTTAATATGTCAGAAGAAATATTAATGTTTTTCCTAAATGTTTTAATAGCAATTGACAAATAAATATTCTTAATTTGACACCTCAAAGCATAAAGCTTGAATCAAGTTCCATTGGTGATAATGAGCGATATAAATAAACACACGTTTTCTTGTAAATATAATTTTTACTTAGAAATTATAGAAAAATCAGAATCATTTCTCATTATTAGTTAGACGTTTGGTTTGAACAGCCGTGAAATGAGATTGCTTTATAAGCTGTTACTTCTCATGTTGATTAATTTATTGTCAAGTCAGGCTGAAAATTCTTTTAGTTCACTTGGAAGTTTTAAAACTTTGTCAAATGCAGTTGTTAAGGTTATCGAAGATGTTTGGGGAGATGATCAAAAATCAGTGAATTTTATTATTTCCATTAATAATCCCGAAAATATTTATGTTAGCAGCATTGTTAGTGATATTATGTTGCAAAGTTCTTTAAATCCAACTGTCGGATATCACGTTGAAACAATTGAATACTTAAAAATCAAACAAAAGCTACCAAAACTGAGCGCAATTGTTGTAATTGAAACATTTGAAGATTTTACAAATTTCAATAAAATTCTAACGTCAGATTTAATATCATTTAGTTCGTATCAGGGTGACATTCTTCTTCTCTTTTTAAATGGCGAACTGACTGAATTGAATGAAATCTTCAATATTTTGTGGAAGAAGCAAGTTTATAACGTGAATGCGATTTACGAAGGAACAAATGAAATTGTTGAAGTTAAAACATTTTTCCCATTCAAAGTTAACAATTGCAGTGACACAACACCCACACTCATTAATGTATTTGAAAACGATGAATTTAAAAATGATCTTGAAAACTTTTTTCCTGATAAAATGAAAAATTTAAAGAAGTGTACAATTCGTGTTGGGACATCGAATAGTTCTATTCCTTATGTGTTTGCGTCAAAACTTCCTAATGGAACTTATGAGTTGAGTGGACGAGATATTTCTTTGATCAGAACTTTGTCTGAATTATTGAACTTTGAAATTGAATTCGCGTATGTTGGTGAAGAAGGACATTTAATCGAAAACGGAAGTTCTTCTGGCGCTCTCAAGATGCTTCTTGAAGGAAAAGTTGATTTAATTATATCCGATTTCTGGTTAAAAGCAAATCGAATGAAGTTTATTGACAATTGTATACCTTATATAAGCCAGCACATTGCTTTTGTGATTCCACCGGGAGCTGAATTTACTGCTTTTGAAAAATATTTTAAACCACTTGACAGTTATACTTGGATTGGTTTGAGTGTCGTTTTTATGAGTGCTTTTCTCGTCATTTATATCTTTGAAAAGTTACCAAAAGTTCATAGAAACTTTCTTATCGGGGAGAATATTAAAGAACCTTACTTAAATGTGCTTGTCGCTGTGTATGGCGGTTCTCAACATAAACTTCCTGACCGCAATTTCGCAAGGTCACTTCTCATGGTGTTTCTAATGTTTTGCCTTGTTATGCGTACAATTTACACTGGATCATTGTACAGATATTTGCAAGCACCAATCACTCATAGTGAAGCGCAGTCAATTGACGATATGCTGGAAAGGGACTTTAAGTTCTACACTGTTTCATCGATTCTCGATTTGCTTCAAGGTCAGGATAGAATAAACAAGAGGTTAATTACATATTTTATAACAAGCCGAAAATATTCGTGTTAAGAACTATAATTTTATTTTAGGCTTGTCCTATTCCCACCAGACAGAAGAAATGAGATAATAAATGAAATTAACACGAACCCGAATTTCAAGGGCGCTCTTTTTCGCTCACTTACTGGCATTTTATACTATAATCAATTGAATTATAATAAGACTCAAAGCATGATATGTAAAGAAATGTTTATGATGTTTCACGTTGTCATTTATGTTCCAAAAGATTTTTATCTGAAAGAAGCTATAAATCAAAAGATTCAAATTCTTATAGCTTCTGGACTTATAGAATTCTGGCACAAAAGTATAATTGATCAGAGATTTCGGAGGATTGAAGAGGATGATGAACCGGAGAGTATTAAACTTGAGTATTTATTGGGATGCTTTAATATGTGGATGATTTTGTGTATTTTTTCACTGATAGCATTCATTGTTGAACTTATAAAAGGAAAAATTCTTAAAAAAGTTTAGGAAGAATTATCAACTTTTTGTATATGTTTGAGAATAAATTAAGCGTAATTAAACTCATGTTGAGAGCTACCCGAGCAGCTTCAATGAAAAGTTTCTTATGAGGCGATTTTTAAGCTAACTTTTTCGAAATTGCCGCTTGTGACGCTCGGGCTACGAACTGATTTGTCATCTTGTAGAAATTATTCAGAAATATGAAATTGAATGAAAGTTATGTTGTCATTAATTAATCCTTTAATATAACAGTTCTATTAATTTTTAATAGTTTTTGGTCTATTCATTCACAAATCAATACTTAATCATTAATCATCAATATTGTTAGATTCTTACGTAAATGTTTTAATATGGAATAATTTGAAACAATAGTCTTTGAAACATTTATAAGCATCTAACAAAAAAAGTAAAAGAAAATTTTTCTTTTTTTATATCTTGAAGAATGATATAATTTCCGTAATGTAATCAGCGTTTGTTTATTAATTAATGTTGAATAAAAATTCATAACTTTTCAATTTTCATAGTAAAAACATTGATTATGAACGATTTATTCAACAATAATAATTTTAAAGCATAATTTGACTCATTTTATGAGAAAGGAAATGTTTATAAATTTGTAAATGAAGAAACTTTGCTTTATTGTGAGAAATTTTGGTTTTATTCTAATTGATGTAAGTTATTAAGTTTCCTCGAGTGAGAACGTTGTAAAGCATACATTAATTCTCATTAAAATACGAAATACACAGATACAATTGATTCATTCAAGTTTAATGTCAACAGATACTTTAAAACCTACAGAAAAGTTATAAATACAACAATTAAATTTATTATTAAATTTATTACCTACCTCAAAAAATCTTCAACATTCTCGTACATTTATTTTCCTCAAGTTACAAACTTAAATAAATAAGAGAAATAATTATGTAATCATGAAAACTTTTTGAACATCAAAACCAAGTGAAGCTAAGCTATAAGTTTAAATTCTTATTTGCGCTAATGAAATATTCATTATGAAGTTATAAACGAGTTCTTTTGCCTTTGTACCAGTCACTAAGAGTAGGAAGTACAGAGCGATTGTTCCGCTGCTTTAATGAAATTTCTACAACATAGAGGAAGTCTATCATATAAAATCCATTATTTTTGTCGTACTTTAAGTATTTCTTCTTAATATGGCAATACTAATTAATAGCAATGAGAATAAACAAGCATGGGATAAAAATCAAATGTGGCTATTATCATCGATGTAATTCAATAATCATGTAACATTTTCTCCAAGATCTATAAATCTCTCGTTTTGCGTCGGATTAGGTTTCCGGTTTCCGGCCGTTCAACAATTCTTATTTATTACCGCATAGCTTGATGTTAAAATTACATATTGTTGCTTTGAATCCGCTCAGTGAAATGAATACGAATGTAATCTTTTGAAATCTAAGCACTTTCAATGTAACTGGAAATTGATAGATTTGAATATTTTCTAATAAAAGATTTGTGGTTGCACGTGAAAAATTGATATTCTTGTAACATTAATCATTTGTGTTCAATGTTTTGCTTCGATTTTTTGTTCACGAGTTTAACGTATATTCGATTTGAACGAAAAAGTTGTGGACAATCCAGTGTTGCAATGTTTTAAATATTTTCTAGGAATGTTTAATAAAAAAGAATGTTTCAATTATTCCATTTGTTATTATCTACTAATCTTTCTATGTTTAGTAATATTCTATTTAAAATTATAGATGACATTTCTGATTTCATTGAAAAGTTTAAATAAATTCAATGTTAAGATTGAAAACAAATGCATGAGTTTCGTGAAGTTCTTTGCGTATGTGTTAGTGTCTCGTCATCATCCAAAGTCGGTCGGAAATTTTTCCACATTTTATAAATTTAAATTTCATCTAGAAATACCTAGTGCTTAAAAATGAATTTAAAACATTTACTCGTCATCATAAGTTTCTTAGGATTAAATTTAAGCAAAGCAGAAGGCGATTTTGATGATTTTTGTACTTTATCGGGAACAATCAAAGGTCTCAATGATTATTCATCAATTTTCATCAAATTGTAAGTATAAGAAAGTTATTTCGAGCTAAGAAACACTTGATATGACTTTATTATCTGCAATAAAGTGATAAAATATATGAAATATTTTACATGAGCAAATTTTTTTATATTTTACCAATAAGTAGGTTAATTAATAATTCAAATCAATTTTAGGTTTAACAAACAAGGGAATCTAAAAGAGAAGACCGAAGTGTCAGAAAGTGGATTTTTCGTGTTACCAATTTATGATAAAGGCGAATATACAATCAAAGTCTCTGCCCCAGCTGGATACAGTTTCGAACCCAATGAGATTTCGTTCAACTTTGATGGAGTTGACGATATTTGTAGTCAAAACAAAGACGTTCACTTCAATTTCAAAGGATTTGGAATCACAGGAAAAGTGAACATTTTCAATGATCCAACATATGGAGCAGAGGGGGTGACAGTGACGCTTTTCAACGAGAAAAATGAAATTATTTCAAAAACTACGACAGATGATTCAGGAATTTATACCTTCAGTCCCATCGTTCCTGGAACTTACAAAGTCGTCGCTTCTCACGACTCTTGGCATTTCTCAAAGTCGGAACAATCTGTTGTTGTATCAACAGGAAACACAAAACTGCCCGATGACGCTTTGATTGTTTCAGGATTTAATTTAATCGGTCGTGTCACTCAACCCTCAATCAAAATGGGATTTCTTGTTTATATTGCTAAAGGACAAAAGAACTTCGGCAAATGTAATGAGAAACTACCATCAGGAGATTTAAAACAAGAGATTTCATCTGAATTCGATTCACAACCAATTTGCTTCACTTCAGCTGTCAACAACGGCGAATTTGTTTTTCATAATCTCGCAAATGGACGATACTTGATTGTTCCACATGTTGATAAGAACGACATCGAATTACATCTGAGTCCATCATCAATAAAAGCTGAAATAAAACGCGATAATTATGAGACGAAGGAGTCATTTGAAATCAGCGGATTTACTGCTTCTGGTCATGTTTTTTTGTCACAACAAGAGAGAAAAGGAATAAAAGCAGCTTCTGTTAAGTTGAATGGGAAACAAATAGCGACGACAGATGCCAAAGGTTTTTATACTCTCAAGAATATCAAAGAAGGAACTTACACAATTCAAGTATCAGCCGAAGATCTTCAGTTTCAAGATCACACAGTGAAAATTTCCATGTCGAATCCAAACGTTCCCGACATTCACGTCTCTGGATTTAAAGTGTGCGGTAAAGTGATGTCTGAACAAAGTTTCATGGTTGCAATCAGAAAAATTGGCTCAACATTCTTTGTGAGAACAAAATCGGATCCTAAAGATGGAGGAAGTTTTTGTGAATTCCTTGGAAATGGAAAATATTCACTCGAAGTGTTGATTGATGAAGATGACAAGAATGTTCAATTTTATCCGATTCAACAGACAATCGAAGTCAACTCAGCGACAATCTCAGACATTATATTCTCACAACTTCGAGCTAAAGTAGTTGGTGCTGTTTCATGTTTGGCTGTTAATGACTTTCGGTGTAATGAAGTTGAAGTGACGTTAAGTTCACTTGATGAAAATGGATATGAAACATCTTTATTGAAAGCGAAGAGTGTGAAAGGCGAATACACGTTTGATGAGATTCTTCCAGGACGTTATCAAGTGACGGTGCCATCAGATGAATTATGTTGGGAAACTCATCAACAAAATATTGTCGTAAAGTCAACACTTGAAAATGTTCCACGATTCAAACATGTCGGCTTCAAAATTGGACCGATTATTGCTAGTCATGATTGCAAGGTAAATTTCATACTTCACATGAAGTTTCAGAAAAGATTTTTTAATACTTTGCAAATGTTCTCAGAAATATTGAATTTATTAAATATCTTTTTTAGAATTTCTCCTGGTGGGACCCGTTTTGAGTGTCCCGATTAATTAATTACATAAACAAATAATTAAAAAAGTTAAATTTATTCTCTTTTAGGGTTCATATAAATTAAGAACTGAATCAAAGGATGAGAAAGTTGTTGAGAAAAAAGATTTTCCATTGACAAGTGGCGCAAATGTTTTTTGTGTTTCAACACCAGGAATTTATGATCTCAAAGTTAGCGGATGTCATGTTTTTGAAGAAGACACAAAAGTATTGACAACGAAAGAATCTTCTCCTGTTTACATCAATGCTTTGAAGCATCGAAATGGAATAAGAATTTTGAGTGAAATGAATCAACAATTCACAATTGAAGCTGAGTTTGAAGATGGAACGAAGAAGCTTTTGAAACCAGTTGAACAGAAAGAAAGAGTCGATGGTTATGTTGCTTACATTGTCAACATTGATCTCAAATCAGGCGAAAAAGTGAAACTTATCCCAAAGAGTGAACAAATGCTTTTTAAACCAGACCAAACTGAATGGAAAGGAGCGACAGATTGCGTTGATGTTGCATTTAATTTCATTGCAACAAAAGGTTTAGTAATATCAGGAAAAACTGATCCATCAATTGTTGACGTTGTGGTTAGTCTGAGCTTTCCAAAGAATCCTGAACATTCACCAATGACAACAACTACAAACGCAGCTGGTGAATTTAGATTTCCAACAATTGATCCCACCATTGATTATGAGCTGAAAGCTGAGAAGGAAAGTTATATTTTCTCAGAATATGACAACAGTCGTAACTTATTCCATGGCCATAAACTTTGTGAGATTATCGCAATCGTTAAAGATGAAGATGGAAAAGAATTGTCAAATGTTGTCATCTCAATTAGTGGCGGTGAAAATTATCGTAAAAATCTTGCGACAGCATCAAATGGGGAGATTAAATTTCATTCACTTCGACCTGGAAAATATTATCTTCGTGCAATGATGAAGGAATATGAATTCAAGCCAAATTCTCAGACACTTGAGATTAAAGACGGAGAAACCGTGAACATAAATCTTGTGTAAGAATTAAGGTTTATTTAATTTCCTACTTTCTTAGAGTTTTTGTTTACTTTCAGTGGCAAACGCGTTGCTTATTCAGTCTTTGGAAAGATCAGAAATTTGGGTGGCGATCCATTTGCGAATGTGCAAGTTGAAGCAGTTTCAATAACTGAAGCTTGTGGTAATCATCAAGAAGAAACTGTGTCTGAATTTAATGGACTTTATCGAATTCGAGGACTTCAAAGTGGTTGCGAATATAAAATCACGTTGCAGAAGAATGCAAATGTTGAACGAGCGATTCCAAGTGAGAGGAACATCACAGTTCAAGCTGCTGACACTGAGAATGTCAACTTCATTGCGATGATTCCAATAACAATTTGTGATGTGAGCGTGAAAATAAGATCAAAGAACAATGAACATTACAAGACATTGAAACTTCAAATGTTTAAAAGAGAATCACCAGACACGCCAGTGTTCTCGCAACGTCTTGAAACGCTGATGGTTCCTAAAGTTAAACATCATAGCAACATCATGGTGTTCATTCCTAGAATCCAATCAGTTGATTTCCAAAAAGTTTTCATCATTGAAATAACGACAACATTGAATGAGAAGAATTACAATTTTAAACTTCCATCGTTTCAATTCACAGCCAACAAGACGAGTTACTACTTCGAAGTTGACTTTAATCCAATCTTGAAGCAACCGGAAACTGAACTGAACAAGAATTCGCTCGTTGCTCTGCTTCTCATCTTTTTAGTTGGTTTTGTTTTCCTTAAACATGAACTTGTCTTTGACACTGTCAGCAACTTATGGATGAAGTTTAACAGTGATGTCGCTAGTCGACAACCGATTAAAAAGACTGAAGGAAAAGGAGACAATTTCATTGACGAAAGAGAGATCAATCAACTTGCGCAATATATCGAAGAGAGGAAGAAGAAGAAGTCCAAAAAGAACAATTAGTTGGGTGTGGGTGGTTTCTAAATAGTAATTTGGGGGGAGTGAAGATTAATTAGACAAGAGAAAGTAGAATAAATAATTGATTAATTGAATAATTTTTTTAATATTTGAATTGAAATTATTTTTCAAAGTTTCAGGTTTCTTCGATTACATTTGAATATTATCAAAATATTTATTCACAGAGAACTTTATTAGTCAGGAATTTCTAATTTCGAGAAGCTTTGTATAAGAAATTAAATTTAATTTCGCAAAAGAAGAATTTTCGTTCATTTCTATGTTTTAGGGATTCTCAACAATTTTTTCCTTGTGACTTTTCTGATGGAGATAAAAATGATTTTGATTTCCAAATACTTTTGAAAACAATTTCAAACAAAACGCAGCACAAAGGTTAAGATTTTTATCTGATGTTGAACTCTCTTCGAACTTTCTTTAAGCATGTTTCACATTAATTAATTTACATAAAATCTCTTTCAACAGAAACAGATGGTGAACTTACAAACTGGAAGAATCTGATGTGGTATCCCTTTTATTGTGTACTACAACAAGATGAACAAACCTTCACAGCTTATTGCTCCGAGGAATTGTCGGTGAGTCATTGGAATTTTAATTTTCTAAATTTCCTTATTTTTCTTCCGGATTTTCCATGCATCGGATGAATTTGACTTTTTCCCCTTTTTTCCATCTTTTCTCTTGTTGAAAATCCTAAAAATAAACTAAAACTAACAGATAATCCCCGTTACACCTAATCGAGAAGTCAGGGTGAGTTGATTCATGTTAAACAATTTCTGCAGTTGCATTTCTACGTTAATTAATTTACTTTCATTTCTTCGTTGATTTTCTTTCTTGAATGAATCAAAGTTTTTCTTCTTAATTTATTTGTTTCAGTTTGTAATAAAAAGAAATATAATTTTATTATTAAGATGGCAAAATTTTTATGAGTTTTTGTAATTAAATGAAATTGATTTTTATAACTTTCTGCCCACTCACAACACGTAGTAAAATTATTTATAAATTCTGCTTTTAAACAGCTTGCCGATGTTTTCTTCGCTGATTTACCTCGAATACGATTAGACCGCTGCTTGGATCGGCCTCGTTCACGTAAAACGATCTGGGAGCCTCAACCTAACACCATTCATGAAGAGAATGAAGACGAGAATGGCTTCAACACATCAAACTTGGAACTCAACTCGTCGCTTCATCAGGTTGAATTAGGTGAGTTAGTTACTTATTTAGATACTCAATTCATTTGACTACGAACTTGTTTACGGAGGAAATTGTTTGTCGTTAAATATAATAACTGCGAACTTGATACTGGAATTTGCTTTTTTAATCGAAATCGAAATTGCAAGTCGCACACATTCACTTTTGAATATTCTGCCATTGAGTTTCAATTTACAACTTTCAAAGATTTCGTTTTGATTGAGGGATAATTTCAAATATCGTCACATGAAAGTTTCTTTCAAGATAATCTCCCTTTTAAAGATCTGAACTTGATTTTTAATTCCATTTTTAATATGCAAATTATACAAAATTTACATAACTTAAATACCATCAAGTTCTCGACTTTTTTGTATCTTTGTCGGCTGCGAAAATTAAAATTCTTCTCTAATCAAATTAAAAACAAAAACAAAGGAAAATTACTTCACTGACCTTAAATGTGTAAATTTTCTTACTTCATGAAACGATAAAAAAAAGGAAATGAAAACTTTTCATTGAATTATGTTATTTGTTTATGATTATTCTACTGCACCAACACCTGTAATTTTGAATCATTAATTAATGACGTGAGATGTTTGTGTAATAATCAAAAAGCTTATTGGGGCATAATACACGCAACAATAGCGGTTAATGTGGGCATCTGATGTACATGTTAATCTTTTTGAGTACACGGGGAGTTTACGCATTCACAAAATTGAATTAAATCCCATTGAATGATGCCTTTTTTTACCGCTTCAATTAACATTTCTTTGCTATTTCAATTACTTTGTGTCCGCGCCAAACATACATGCCACGAAATTGCACAACAGCGTTTTTAGATTTGCGCTTTAATCAATGCTGGCATTTCTGCAGAGTGAAATAAAATTGAACTCGAGTTGATTGGGAATCATAATACATAAAGTGCTGTGGAATGGAAATCAAAACTCTGTCGATAATGATGTTAAGGCTTCGTGCGTGTTGTGAGTCTCAATTTGCTTGGTCATTTTCCTTTATCTAGCCCTTCAATGATGAAACAGCAAACAATGCTTCACAGTAATTAAAGACAAACAAAAGAAAATAAAGAAAAAACTGCGACAAATGATGGAGAAATGAATAAACAAAGGAAAGAGAAATTCAAATTATTAGGTAATTCGTCAATGCTTATCAGTATTCTGTTGCTTCAACTTATCTAAATAGTGTAGTGGCCTTTAAAGCATGGCAAGGCCATCATTCCAAAGAATTTAAAATGAAAATTTATTTCCCTCAAATTGATCGTTTGAGAGAATATATCGAGAGCCCAAGAGAATTCTTTACGCCTACACCACCAGCAACTGAATAAATCCAATGGATCAGCGATGAAACTTCTTTGTGTATGTGTAAATATTTTCTCATGTTGACTCATAAAATAAAACTTTTCTCTCTGTTTTTCCATTCCACATTGTGTCGTTTCTCTTCCTAACGATCAAGCGGTTTCATTCAACGAGTTGATGTCGGGACGTTCAGTTATCGCGTTTGTGGAGAATTCTTTTTTTATTTGTGAATTTAATTCTCGTATAAATATTAAAAATATTTTTTGACTTTTAATTTGTTGATTCGGCAGTTCGTGTCGTCAATTTTTTTAATGTTCCAAGTGAATGAAAAAATAAATAACAGAGAAAAGGAAAAAAGCAACAAATTGGCTTGAAATTATCTCTTGTGTTGTGTTGTCAATTTCAATTAGTATTATGAGTCGTATGTGCGCGAAGTTCTGAAGTGATCCAATGCTAATTAATGTCATAACAAAAACAAATATAAAAAAGAGAAAAGAAATATTAAGTTACAAACTGCCAGAAGCTTCTTACAAATCACAACATAGATACGCCTGAAAATAAAAAAGTATTAAAAAAGTTGAAGCTAAAAAAATGTAAAAGAAAATTGAAATTGAATTCAGAAAATATTTTTTTCCGCAAGTGATTTCCATTGGTGGTGAATGATGATGAGTCGTAACAGCTTTTAAATTTCTATTTGAATGAGAAAAGTTGCATTGAAATTGTTTGTAGCACTAAAAAAAATATTTGCAAACGTTTCTTAAAAGATTTCTTTTGTAATTTTTATTACTGCACAGCTTTCGGTGCATCATGAAGCAACTGAAACCAAATGCGTGAAAATAGATTTAAGTAATGTAGTAGCGGTGAGAATCGTCATAAATCAAGCGATGGTGTTCGAAGGCAATAAATTCGTCGACTATGCCAAGACGTGCAGAAAAGCGCAATAAAAAGAAAACAATCACACATAGAAGCTGCTTAAAGTGTTTCTCTAATTAAAATCATGTGTTGTGTAGATTTCTTTTTGATATTTTTTAAATTGTATTTCCAGCCACCCGAGGCTTCCTTGACATATTTTCATAAATTAGAAAATTGCTCAGTAAAATGCATTGAACAATCTTTTAGTTAATCTTTTTCTCGCTCACTTGCATTAATGACGTGATTACATCTTAACAATAATGTTTGATTGTTGGCGTGACTTCTTCTTTCTCGTATTAAGACGTTTCTCCATTCATGAGTCATGATTGACAATGCGATCATTAATTATTAAGTAGAGATACAGTCTACCGAAATAAAAAGAGCAACTGCTGAATAAGACAAATGTAATAATGCTGAAGTAATAGCTGTTTCGAAGCGTTCATTATGGATATTTACGCAAGAAGAAGAAAAAAAAGAAGAAATATTAACATCAAGTTGAGTTAAGTGCGCTAATGTTGTTTTAAGTTCTCATTATTTATAAAAAATTTGAAACAACAGAAGAAGTTGAAAAGAAGCATTTTCAATATGGTTTTAGACTTGTGAAGTAATGAAAAGCATCAAGGATCATTCATTTATATTCATTTAATTATTTATTGAGCCATTGCTCTTAAATCGAAATTCATAACATCTTCTTCAACCCTATTTAAGTCAAATCTCGTCGATATAATTGTTACTATTTAATGTTAAACTTTTTTATTATATCTGCTTGAAAATTCAAAATGAAATGAAATTTTCTATTGTTCGTGTTGCGCTAACATGTCATGTAACAATTGATATATGTAAGTAAGAGTCATCTCCTCCCATGCTTTTTCATTGCATTTGTTGCATTTTTGTAGCTTTTTGCTGCTTGACTTTCAACTCAGCTTTGCCAGGTCTGTTTTCTCTCGTATGTTTTTTAAAAGTTGATGAATTCAAGTGCAGTTAAACGGAACGAAACTTGAAACTAAATTGTTTTGTTTGACTTTTTTTCGTTTTTGATTTCGGTGAAATTTTCTGTCGCTAATGATTCGACAGTGAATACATATCGAGCGTTGAAATTGAGTCACCCAACTGTCAATTATTTCAACTCTTTTTTACGATGAATTCCATTCAAATAGAAATCGCAGGAAATCAAATTTTATAATCTCGTGCATTACATAATAATAAAAAAAGAGAGAAAGAATCATGATCATGTTTGATGATCTTCAGTTGTGGTTTAACTGTTCATAATTTTACTGATCTTTTACAAATCAACCATAGAAGTTGTTTTATATTCTGTTTTTGTTCCCTTGGCTTTGAACTGACTTTGAATTGTATTCTTTTGCGATGAATCGAATCTTTTTTCTCTCCATTCGATTGGTGTGACTGAGACTGATGTTTATCTGTTCGTACAACGTCAATTTTCTTTTGTAGTGCAAGAATCGATTGACCGACTTCCAATTGACTTCTTCTTGGTCATTAGGAACGTTATTGTCAAGATTTATGTTAATTTATAATATTTTTCACCATTCTTAGTTAAATTGAAGTCCGTTGGTCAAGTAAATAACTAATTTAAAGCTTTTATTAACTTCGTTCTTTAATAATGTGGAGTTTTATTTTATTACTATCGTGCCATGATGCAGACTCATTAAACCTCTGCGCAAACTGAATTTATAATCGAGAATTATCCGACGCAGCACCGCTTTCGTTGCTTGAATTTGTTTTCATTAATTATTCATCGCATGGATTAATTGGAAAAGTCGAAAGAATTCTCAACGCCGTTTATCGGTAGTTTGATTTGATTTTTTGATTCCAGATCCGTTAGTTTCTTTAATTCAACTTCTTTTGATATGAATTTTTCATAAGGAATTTAATTAATGGCCTTGAAATTCAGTTTACCACAAATGAGCTTGCTAAATCTTGATGAGTTTCATGAATGGAATCATTCACTGAAGTTAAACTTGCTTGTTTTGTGACGTTGCTTAATAAGGAAAACTTGTAAAAATAAAAATATTTTTATTTTCTCACTCAATCTCAATGAATAAAGCAAAAAAGAAAATAATAATAAAGTAAGAAACTGTTACGATCGTTGAGCGCCATATATTTTGGGATATTCATGATTCATTGTGTTGATGCCTTGTAATTAAATTACGCAAGTTGCAAATTGAATTCATTTCATTCCCATAATGATCTCTTGACTTTTGATTGTGCTCCAGATAAAAGTGTTTTGTGCGAACAAAACCCTAAACCATAAAAATCGCGTTAAATTATGAATCACGACCTTCACTTATTGAAACAACCTCTCTCCATGTCATTGTTTGTTTTCCAACATTTAACCAAACTTCAGAGAACAGACACAAGAAAATTCATGGCACAAATCCAAAAAATAAGAAACAAAAATTCAAAAGCTTGTGAATCAAAACTAAAACAAAAACAGAGAATTTTTATTTTCCCACATTGCAATTTTTTATTTTTCAAATCGTGGAATATTAAATCGTAGAAAGAAGAAAAATCTTAATGAGATTCGTTTTTGGTGAGTGCGAAAACAAGAGAAGATTAATACAGGCGGAAGGAACTCAACAATTACGACCTCATTAACACAACACCAAGTTCTAAGCATAGTAACGGAAGATTTTCATCGATCGAGCCTTCCATGAAAAGATTTGTCAGAAAACACATTCATAAGCTTGGCTTTTGATGTTCATGTTCCCTTTTTCTGCGACTTAATGATGCAATTTTCTGTTTCGCAAATTAAAAAAGATGTTAACTGTAAATGCACGACAAGAATCTTTTCGTTTGTTGTCGACTGATGAATCTTTGCACAGTCGTTTCGGTTAATTTAATTGATTTATATACATATGTAGCTTTGTTTCTCCAGAATGAAATTATCATTTTTTGTCTGTGGAATATCCAAAATTAGAATATTTAATTCATTTGTTAGTTTAGCGAACCTTGAGCTATAAGAAAATTTTTAATGTGAAAAAGATTACCGACCTCTTGAAACTAAGTTATTGACAAACAACGAAAGCCAACGAGACGCCCATGATATCTTAATGCGAATTAAATTTTGGCAATCACCGATTTGTAAACAATTGAAATGTCGCCGACAGTTTGCGTGGGTCCTCCAAATGGGGCGTTTGAAAGACGCAAGACAGTTGAATTAACGGGAAATATGAAACCACATCGGATCGATTATTTATTTTACTGTCGAAGAATTTCTCTTCGACATGTTTCATTTAAATGATTTTCTACCAAAAAAAGAAGTCTTTCGGTGTCTTTATTTAAAAAAGACGGCAAATTCTGAATTTACGATCGAGTATTGCATAAAAATCTGAGGGGTTTCCTCTCCACAGCACGTTTGTTGATTATAGCACACATTGGCGCTCAACTGAAACGTAAAAGATCGCGGAATTTTCACAATAATCGTAATCATTTTTCTTGTGACTCAGTTTACGACGTGATGGACGGTTATTAATCTGGTGACACTGAGCAAGAACGTAGATAGAGTAAAGCATCACTCGAGCGAGTCAAACCTCGGCGACTAAACAGTTAAACAGAAAATCATCAATTAAAATGTTTATCGTAGGCGCGTTCTCAAAAATAACCAAACGACTAATTGAAGTCTGAATAAAACAGCTTAGCTTCTTTTTCTTGACGCAGATGAGACGTTTGAAGATGTTCCTAAAATAGATTCATAAACTTTGATGATGATGATGTGGTGGTGCACCGCATCTAGAGGTACATCAAGTGAATGCGGCTAATGAAATTCATTTGTTAATGAAAAAAATTATCGACTAAGTTTATGATTTGAAAATTCACTCAAAAATGTTCTCGTGTAAATGAAACGCATTTGAATCCATGCTGTAAAAATAAACAGTTGGTGATGAGAATGAATTTATGATGATGAAAGTCTAATGCGACAAGCAGAAAAAATGAAGTTCTGAAAATTGTTTAGAAAGATAAATTTAACAGATTAAAGTGTTATTTAATGGATTAAAGATGGTGATACTCGATGGACATTTGTGCATTGATGCTGCAAATTATGTTTAAATAAAAACTTCACTTTTATGTCGCGTGATTTATGTAGCGAGTCGAATGAGAGTTGTAAAGGTCACTTGCTGCGCTGTTGTAAACTAAAATTATTGCGATTGAGATTTTAGATACAAAAGCAATGCTTAGATGAGATTGAATAATTACATCATTAAAGCGAATTCCTTAGAAACCTAAACTTAAGCTCAACTACAAGCGTAAAGTTGTCAGATTACAGCGAAAGAAATTTCAAGAATGTCTTAATTCTTTTCAAAGAATTCTGAAGTTAAACTTACGAGAATATTTATTATTTGCTTCAAAAATCTTTCAACAATTCTCTGTTAATCCTAAAGCACAGCATAACAAACAATTCGTGTCTGAGTCTGCGGAATTTGGTTGTGTGAGCGTCATTGTTGTTCATCTTTTGTCACTTTCCATGTTGTTTCATTTTCCCATAAAAACCTCTTTCATTAGAAATGTAATTGAGACCGACTGTGGTGATGTTGTCGCCGAGAGACGGAAGAGCTTACTCTTGAGTCTTACACTGAGCTATAAAATGAAATCCACTTCATCATTTTTAATCATGGAAGTGAACGTTATGTTAATGACAGTGTCGTGCGAAAAATAAATGAAGACATTAAATATGCTAGGCGGATTAGTGTGGAGGTGAAAAATCACAAAGACTCGGATCTCGGATGGAGACCACAAAGCCACAATTTTATGTTGAGATGTTAAAACTTTAATCTTGATTGTCTTCTCTCCCTCCTTCGCTGAAATCTCGATACTTCCCTGAATATTCGAACACAATTGTGTATAAAATTTCACCATTCACAAGTTCATTTTTATCTCAGTGCATCTGAGTATCGACGATGAGTCACCAGGAAAAGCAAGCAAAAGCTGAATTAAATATTTAGAGGCAATTTAAACCGACGAATGATTCTTTTTCTCTTATTAAAAATTCTCGTAGATATTTTGGGTGCGTGTGAGCATTCGAATGTGAAGGGAAAGTTTTGTGAGATATGAATTAGGGATGACACACGTTGTTCAGTTGTTGTTAATACGTTTCCTTATTTTCTGGTTTTCTAATAAGAAAATAAATTTCTTCCCTTCGATTTACCTTTTTTTTTTCTTCCCAATTTTCAAATCGTATTTATGTTGTTTTAATAAATTGGATCTACTTGCATTTTTCGCAACCCTTGGGAAAGGTGGCTATGACTCTTCAATCTCTTAAATTAGATCGACTAACACTTGCACCCTTCACAAAATAAATATTTTCCACCTTTCGAACATTTCTTGAATTTGTTTGAGTTTTGTCTTTGTACGTGACTCTCGAAGTTTATGAAGAAGTCATTAATCTAAATTAAACAGATAGATATGTTGGTAATGGAAAACTATTGTGCGTGTGTAGGAAGGAAAAATGAGATTAATTTCAATTTCAAGATAAATTCTTAATGTCAAAACTTTTCGGTTTGTTGCGAGAAGAAAAATGATATGAAATATTAAAAGTTCAAGGAATGGAATGGAAAGAAAAAGTTGTGTGTGTAGAAGTGACTTCAACTTGTTTCTTTAAATCAAATGAGAAGTGAAAACTTAATTAAAGTCATTCAAGAATCTCATTAGTTTGATGGCAACTACGCAAGCGATGACATTGATGATAACATCACTTTATCTCTCATTTACTTAAACATTCTTCTCATCAGAGTGGCGATTGTCAAATCACAATGACGTTGATGCACTCAACAAAATCATAAAAAAACATGATTGGAAAAGGGGGAGAAAAAACAAACAACATGATCGAGATGAAAGAGAATTATGAGACATTGAAAAAGATGATGAAGATGCGGGTTGACACAACATGTGTGTAGTTACTAGTATCGAGTGCCCTTATAAAACTTTATTTATCATCTGAGTTGACTCAAGTCGTCGAGATTTATTGCTGGCTAACATAAATTTCACTTTTATAATCCAAAAAAACATTCACGACTAAGTCAACACTAGACTGTAACGAATAGAAATCTTTTCTCGATCTTAATAGTGACACATATGCGACAATGTTTTTCTTTATTTATAACATCAGCAGGAAAACGACATTTTCAACTCATTTGTTGGATAGAAAAAAAAGAAGAGTTAAATTAAGCCGGAAAATTATTTTTGTTTTATGTTTCTCATGAAAAGAAAAAATATTTTGATCTTTTGAAGCATGAAAGTCATTTTTCATGGAAAGTTTACAGCTGGAAAGTTTTTTTATTTAAATTTTCTTCGAGTTTTGAGTTATTTTTTAGTTAAATCCAAAACACAAAATTAAGTCGCTTTAGCTTAGTGTTGAGAATAAATTTGAGATAAACATAAATTTAAACTAAAAACCTCAATTTCTCATCTTTATCATTTGAATATGAATCAGTGCAACTGAGTAAAGTGGAAGTCACATGAAATAAACAAAGATGAAAGTTCTTTTGATTAGTCAACGCTCAACGCTAACAATTCCAATCATCTGTTATGGAAAAGAAATGCAAAAAATCTTGAAGCGGCTCGAGGGATCTAATCACAAGCACAAGCAGTTAAAATATCGCCGGATGGAGATAAAAAATGTTGTTTAATTGTTAAAATCCAGTTGCTTTCTCAAGACTGTAAATTCTTCGGCTTCTTCAGTCTTGTTATGCTTTTTATGATTGTCGATTATTGCCTCTTCTCACTTCAGTAAGATAAAAACTTCACTTGAATTTGCTACCGAATGTAGATGAGAGCGGACAGATGATTGAGAACAAATTATTTGACCTTTGGTCACCGTTCGAGAAATGAATGATGAATTAATCATTTGATCTTCCCTTTTATCGTTTCGCACATCAGACATTCAACACACAACCCAAAAGAACGGATGAGAAATAAAGTCATGTTTGTTTCTTTCTTTAATTCATCAATAAATCTCTTGACAATTTTTCGTCTTCCTTTTCGCAAGTAAATAATCAAAGACCTTGTCAAAGACAATAAAATTTTCCGAGTCAATTCAGGTTGCTTGTGAGTGTCGAGAATCAAATGTTTTGTCAGATTCCTTAATGGTAATCATTGAAGCATGAAATTGCGTAACGGAGACGAGACGAATGTAAACTGTTGAAGACAAATGGCGAAATACTGAAAATATCCATTCAAGAACTCAACTTTGCTTCTCATTGCGGTTTGTGTTTGCTTAACGAATAACAACAACACTGAAGGATCATTCGTTACAATATGTGGAAAATGAAGAAACGAGAGAGAAAAGAGTGAATTCGCAATCATGCCGGATATGTGACAAGACGATCAATTATTATTCATTCAGTCAGTCACATCAGTCTCATCGTCTAACGACCTCTGACGCCATATTTCACAAACTTGTATAAAATAAATTCATGAAGATTGAACTTATTCATCTCAAGGAAAGAATTTTACGACAGCAAATAAATTGTTTATGCATTGCTATGAGTTCACTTCGACACTTTTCTTAAACATTAACTCTGAATCGTGCTTTTAAGACTCTTTTTTTATGCTCAAACACATCTCGTGTTTCAGTTGCACTTTCAAAAGATTCGATGACGCTTTAAATATTAAATCTTGAATTTGAGCTTTCGCTGTTTCAGTTCTTAGCAGTTAACAATTATCAACAATTGAATGCTTCGATGAACTTTTTAAAAACCGTTTTGTTGCTTCGTTTGCCGTTTTTGTAGTTAAATCGTAAAAGTTTGCAAACGTTATTCGAGTAATTAATCATCACCACAGGAAAATCACTGACCGATATGTACTTAGAAGTTGTTTGTTCGGTTAATAACACGATAAATCTAAGCAGTTCTTGTAAAATTAAATAAATTAAATTTCCATTTCATTTTTATTCTTTTAATAAGATAAAACCTTGTAAGGTGCAGCAATATTAAGTAGAATCTCATGAAAACGATCAATCAAAATCGAATTCGAATAATCGAACAACAATCAATTGAAGCGAAACAAAGCATGAAAATGTTTATAACAATTGCATAAGTAAACTAAGCCTAAAGTGAAAATAAGTGAAAATCAAAGTGAATTAATATAGAAAACAAATAAACAAAAAAACTTCACCATGAATTGTATGTCGATGCAACAAGAAAAGAAAACTTATCAGCAACGCAATCAAGCTTATCAGCAACACAGCGGCACAACTTCACGTGCTGGTCTGCGATCGTGTTTGCGCGGTGAAATTGAAGACGTGGAATGTAAGATTGAAATATTTCTTTAATTTATTTTTATATGCTTCACATTTCAAAGGGATGATTCGGTGATTAAGTCACTTGAATGTTTACCAAGAAATTGATTGACTAAAGGAGAATTTGAAACATTATTCATGCTAATTTATAGCCACATAAATCATTGTTATGATTAACAAGTATACAATCTCAAACACAAATTCCATGAAATCCCAAAAATGAAAACAGTTGAATTGAAATTTAAGCCATTCGTCAAACTAGTCGACGTAATTTTAATTTATGCAATCTGATACTGAAATTCTTTCATTTTTTAACCTTATCGTGCGTCAACTGTGAAAGGAAGTGCAAGCATATGCAAGTGCATGGAGAGATTAAATTAATTCGAATACATTATTAGCAGGAAATTCTTTAAATCGTCATGTGCTTGACGGTTTTTATTTTTCCAGGCTAAATATTTCATTTTGACAGCGACAACGCGGTTAAAAGCCGTTTTAAGTGATTCAATTTAATTTAATTGAATTTCGAGTGTTCTCTTTAGTTAATAAACATCATTTTCTTACATGACGATTGTCTTGAAAATTGCCCCTGATGATGATTGCATACACTTTCTTCTTTTTCTGTTTAAATTTGTCATTCGCTGACAAAACCCGCTAAGAACTTAATTGTCTTGTGAATGTGTCAACACCTGTTTAAAAAGAAATCATCGGTAGGTGCTTGTTGTACCGGTTGATAGTTCTGTTTGTATAGAAACGCAAACTTTGCTACTCTGTGTTGAATAATAAGTAAGTAACATGACAATGCATACACATTGAGAAAGCTGAGTGAACCTGCTTCAGCTGTTAAATAATTCAAGTCGTTCACTTTCGAACTGCTGCTAACATGTTTACAATTGTAGAATATTTCATTTCTAATTATTATTAAAACAGGAATCATCATCTCAATGCTAATTATTATGTTTCTCTAATTAAACAATTGCAATGTTTTTCGGGCAAATGTCACGCTTTTATGATTCAAACAACAATGGAAACATAAAAATTGTCGTTTCTTAAAATAATTGCTGACTGATGTGAAGGTCTTTTCATCATTTCAATTAATTGACGCCGTTTAGCTTTGTCGCAAGACGAATGTATGTTTTTATTAACGTTACGATTTCTATTTATTAGTAGTGAGATGATTGCATCATTAGAGTTATCACAAAATGTCAGTTTCATTGAAACGTAAATGTTTTGAAACCATAACTTGTTAATGAAAATTACAAACTTTAAGTAATCGAAGCATTGGCCTTCTACGTCAATATCAATTCTTTCATAAGCAATCTTCAAATTCGAATTCATTTAAATTCTTTCCGTATTTAATTTTAATTCTTAATGAAACATTCCAAAGTATGAAGCCTGCTAACTCCATCATTGATCATTCTTCATATCAACACGTCAACAATCGATTTATATCGCTCAGTCTTTTCTTTGTTTTCATTTTTTCCTTCCTAATGCCACCCACATAGAGCATTTAACTAACAAATTAACCAAGAAAACATTTTTTTCATAATTCAAACGTCTGTCAAGTCTAAAGGGAACAGGTTTTTTAAGATTCTTTGCTTTTTGTTTCTTGTAATGTTTTTTTGTTGGTTGCACCCCGTGAAATGAATTTGAGATTACTATTTGTTATTAATATCGTTATTAGATCGCTTTATGTGTGGTTGTGTAACAAATGTGAGCTTCTGATTTCATTTTCATATTGATTTCTATCTCAATGATCAAATCGATGGAATTCCTTAGTCATTCATACAAATTGCATCTCAATCATGTTGAACTGGTAGTTATGGGACAAGCAAAAAACAAAAAGCAAAAAAGAATTTGGAATTAGACAATAATTTGTTGTTCAGCTTCGGGCGTTCAAGTGGACGCAGTTAACAGAACTTTTAACTCATAAATCTTCATAATTTTAGTTTCTTTTCCCCTCATAAGAACAACAGAGATAACTACATGAAATTTCTTTCTCCATTGTGTTTTATAATAAAACAAACAAAATTTTGCTCCCAAAGATTCACCCGGAAACAGTAAAAGCATTTTTCAATTGAGTTTATGATGATGGCAAAAATTTTATTGAAATATTGTTGGGAAAAAATGTCTTTGCATAAACAATATCTTAATGTGTTCCAATAAAAATTCATTGAACTCAAAGAAAAACTCTTCTTTTTGTTTGATTGAATATTCAGACAAATATCGACTTACAGTTGTACTTCCTTTGTGAAAGGCGCGGCTGTATCGACATTTATCCAATTAATCCAAATTAATCATAACTTCAAATCGAATCATTTACATGGAAAGCATCATAATCGAAATTTTGAGTTGGGATATTTAAGTGAATATTTGTGCGTTGAGTAAACATCCATAAAATGTGTCCGATCATCACAAGGAAATTTTCACTTAAACAAACTTTATTAATAGAATTAAATACATGAAGAAAAAAAAAGCTTTTATGAGAAAATGGAACTGAAACTCTCACGTCCATCAAGCGAAGCCGACTCAAATGATGAATCGCTTATAACAGACATGAGAAACGATGACAAAAAGTGCTTAATTGCTTGAATATTGTGAGAGTCTCTTCAGACACTTTAGAAGATGTTTAAAAGACGATGATGAAGCTAACTATCCACTCCACGACCTTGAAAAGGTTGAACACCAACCGAAAAATTATGCAAATCAACTTTGATAGTTTTTAAATCGTTTGTTTTGTGACACAATCGTACATCTTGAACTCTCCTACAGCGTTCCGTTTCCTCAGACATTTTTTAACTCGTTGGTATTTCTTTTATTTCTAATAAATTTTTTTTTTCTTTCATTACAGGTGAGTCTTCTTTTTCAAACAAATCAAAAACACTTCCAAGAGGTATTCATATTGAAGAGACCGAAGGTAAATCTGAAAAACATTATGCAATCGATAAAGATTAATTGATGGCAACAAAATATGTTCATTAGTCAAAGTCAGTTTGCAAATCACGTCAAATATTCAGAGGTCTTGTAAAATTCCATTACGCGCTACGAATGAAGTTACGAATAATAGCTTGTAATGTTCATAAAAATATTTGTAGGGACTCGATAAGATCATTTTGGATAATTAACATTTTTCATTCGTTCTAACGATTTTACTGGTTTTTTGATATTTGAATAAAACATTTGTAAGGTTCATAGAAAAGCGAACAACATGCTGCGCAACATGCAGACAACATGTAACACCAAAACACAAAAAACGTTTGAAATATGCGAGAAAATTTAAACCGAATTGGACAAAAATCGTTCCCGGCCACCTGTTGACGTTCGGAAACATTTTCGCAATATTCATCCAACAGAATTATGGCTCATGAATTTATTTAATTGAGGTTTGTTCGATATATGGAATCGCAATCTAGGAATATAAAACGGGAAATATTTTAAGTCGCTGTTTCTTGTGAATAGAAATAAACGAAGGCAAAAATGGGCAGAAAATAGAAGTTACTTATGACTGACCGTAAACCGTCTATTTACATCTGAATGAATTTAAGAAAATAAAATTTCAAAGCGACAATGTGAATCGATTAGAACGACCGCACGTGGTGAACATTTTTCGTTTTCTTATTCTTAATCATGCAAAGGCATCGTTTGAATTTTAGTAAAGAAAACCTTGAAAAAAATGCCCACATGATGACTAAATTGTCCGTTCCCTTTTCATAATAGTTTAACTGATAAAGTTTGTGAAGAAACAGAAATATTTTTGTAACATGAAAAGCAATTCTAACGCCATGCCGGCAAACAAAAAGCAACCGAAACGCCCTCATTTACCCTCATGCTGATAACGAAGTTTATGTTTAATGTCGCTATAGTTCTGGTATTCGTATATTTGGATAAAGTCTGTTGTGGAATGATTAAGATAAAATGAGTTTCAGAGTGAAATAAATTTTTGAAACTTCACAACAAACATTTTCAAGATCAATCAAAATTCATAATTCATCCAAAACCTTTCTTCCTCTTTTACCTTTCATTATGTGAAAATCGATTCGTCACAGTTTATTGTGAAAGACTTCGCATGTTTCCCAGAAAAGAAAGACTGAAATTATCGAATAAAAATTGTCTCTTGTTGACACAACGTTGACATTGAAGATTAAATGTTTAAAGCAGAGAAACCTGAGGCTGCATTTGTCATGAGTTTGCAACTATTACAGCTTTGATTTGAATTGATTAATGGTTTTCACTTTTGAAAATTTGATTAAATAATTAGCTGTTGTGTTCTCACAGAATATAAAATTAGAAATTGAGCTTCTCTCTCTCTCTCTCCTTTGAAAGCGATATGACAATGAGACCGTTAATTCAATTATTTGTTCAGGTATCTGGAAATATCGAGATAGTTTGATGAACGAGAATTAAATAAGACAAAATTAATGACATTTTGAAGTTAAATACGGAAAGAAAAGACGGAAGTTGATGACATGGTCGGATCTTCTCACTTTTAATGTCTTGAGACGAAAAAGACATTAAAATAGTCTTTGAGGGAAGTCATATCGAGACTTCTACATCCAATCGTTGTATTCAGAAATATTTCTCGATTTCAATCAAAATATCATTTCCGTTTAACGCTACAATGTGAATCAAACTTTTAAATTGATGGGTTAAAAATGTTAAACTTGAAGTCATTTAAAGTTAAATTGATTTGATGGAAACTGAAATTTAATTAAAAGAAAGCTCGTGATGAAAATTCAAATGCAACAGTTTTGAATATTTTAAACAATTTGAAGCTTTTGATCTGAAAAATTTATTCCAACAATTTTTGCTGCTTATTTGCATTCATATAATTTTATGATCAAAGTGCAGAGTTTGTTAATTAAAAAAAAGTTCTAAATTGAAACGATGACGGCTGCAAAAGAGACATAAAAAGTTTGTTTGAGTGTCGACAAAGATAAAATTAAAAATTCAATTACGTAGCGGGAATTGTTAAGTCGAGAGATGTTGAATGCTGAAGTTGTTGCCATGAAAACAGGATCATCAACAATGTTGCGAGTATTGTTATTTGACTCCTTTTTATACAGCAGACTTGTTAACAATGCATGCATGCAGATATCTGGAAACTCTCCCAGTCAACAAAGAAAGTAAAACCAGAATAATTCATGAAGTTACATCGAGAAGAGAACTCTGAATTGAAAACATTAATATTTTAATTTATGTATTTCATGTTCTTTGAGTTGGAACAAAAAGTCGAAGCGAAATAAAAAATTAAGGAGCATGAGAAAACCAGATGCAAGACAGGTGAAACAAAAAACCACAAACTTGCTTTCAAACATATAAAAACAACAAAAATCGTTGAAAGAATGGCAACAAATTAAAGAATTTCTCTTCACTTCGCATTCTTTACGAGATATTTCGTTGATGAAAATAGCATCAGGCTGATCTTTTGTTATAATTTGAAAAAATTTCTCCAACAGTGATGACAATTTCTGTGGTTTTGCAAACGAAAACAAATTTTTATTACCGGAGATGAATCGATAAATGTTTTGCAGTTGTTTGAATCCTACACACATATACATAAAAATGTATGCTTATGGTTATGCTTAAACGCTCGGCTTCCAGATGACTCACATTTTATTGCAATTTGAGATGAAATTTCGTTCCTCGAAGATTTCTCATACATATGCTTAACATTAACAACATCAGAATCCTAATGATTCATGCTGAGTCGTGTGACGTAATGTCACTGGCAGATGATGTGCCATAAAATCTCCTGAATAACGTCAACATGGACAGGAATGTAAATGAAATGTTGTAACGTAAATAAATGAATGACCAACCACGGAGAAAGGATTTTCTTCCACAAATAAAAATTTTCTTTGCTATTCAAACCGGTTCTCAATGCATGAGAAACATTTCCTCTCTTGAATGAAGATTCTTTTTCAATTATAGAAGAAGCTTATGTTAGATCTCAGAAAATTTTGTTTCCTTTTAAAGATTTCCGCAAGTTTAAATAACTGAATCGATTGCTTGGTGTCGTAGTCGAAGAATTTAAAGACGAAACTAATTGAATGTCGCTGTTTATATTTCTCGACCCATAATTGAATTGTTCTTATTCGGAAAGAAACGAAAGGTTCTTAATTAAATCTTATATTTTATACTCCGTAGATAATTGTAAAAAGAATCTAAAATTAGATACAATGCATCGACCATGAAGAGAGGAATCTTTTATTCTTAATCCTTTTCCCTTTCTTTATAATTTCCTTTCATTGAAATCCGTCATAAGTGAAAGCGAAAGTCCCAATTATTCACGCTGCTCAGTTGTTGCAATTGCGAAATGACAGTTAGTTCTTAGTTTGTATTAAACGAGTTTACAAAACACGTTAAGATGCATTGCAAGCAAGGAAAAGATCTCGAATTACACGAGAAACTCCTTGGTAAGAATTGACGAGTGTAGAAAGAAGAATTTCGGGTGCAAAAAAAAATTCTTTCATCTCATTCCCAACAAGGGTCGGCTTCCGATAAATCAATAAATTGTTATGATGATTTAATGACAAAATAATAATAACAATTTCGCGTTGACAACAAAAATATAAACTGCGGGAAAGAAATTTCTATTTGGGCAAGAAATTGTGCAAATAAATTAAATTGTTTTCATTTCTATTCATGAGTCGAAGAAAATTAATTTTTTATTTGAAATTCTTTTGCAAATTCCAAATCTTTTCCCTTCTTTCGATCGGATACAGTGCGAAAGACAAAAAACCTTACCCAACAAACCAGACTCCTTGAACCGTAAAGATTTGCTTGTAATCTGAGAGCAGTGGACCCCTGTTGATATTCCGGAACCATTTCACTGGAAACTGTTGTCATTTCGTGTTCTTCTCTCTTCAAGAAGAAAATTGGTAAAATATGAACAGACTTAAGTATTGAGACTCTTAATATGAAGTACCGTGACTGTCAAGATGAAAAAGAAAGAAAAATGAGCATCCTAATAAGCAAATTATGCAATTTCCCCGCTGTTGGAAGGGTCTTGTGAGATTCGTTCGACTTCTTGAACATTTATTTTTTATCTTCTACCATTTTTTATAGAAAAGTGCAGAAATTATAAATTCGATTTTGAAGTGAAGAAAAAAATAAAAATTCTTTCGGTTCTTTCAATCTTCGTGTACTTTTGCACAATTTAAAATCTTCGAAAGGAAATGATTCTTTTTTTAATTATTTTTTTATTTCTTGATCCTTCCTTACCTGAAATGTGTCCTATCGTATCCTTTTCTTTCTTCATCATTATACTTACGGATATCTAAGTTATAATAGGATTATATTTGATATTTATTACAAGGAGACGAAAGCAAGAGAATAAGGAAAATGTGTCCATAAGTTTGTAATTAATAATTTATGACATTCCATTGCATATCAGTATATCACACAATTGTGCGTTATGATTTATGGAGATCACTTTCCCATTTCGAATAAATGAAATGTGCGTCTGAGGCGCTTGACTGTAAGATGGGTGTGCATATGGAAACTAGATTCATTGTTAGTTTAAATAGTCAAAGAAATCTTAAAGGAGGAAAAAAAATCCCCGACACCAATAAAAACATAAAAATCTCTTTCACTTTCTTTCATGTTGTTGATGTTGCTGCTGCTGCGCGCATCTTATAAAGTCGGGTAAAAAAATTGTTTTTCTTTCTATTTATCGTCGTGAAAATTTCATTCATGTTCATGTTTAGTCATTAATTTATGCAAATCGTCGTGAGGAAAAAATGAAACCAAATGTTTGAGATGAATAAACAAGATTTCTTTAACGGCCGCGAAACGTTCAGTTACGTGATGTTTCTTTCTTTATTTTTACAAATAATTGAAAAGCGAGAAAAAGTTTAATGTGAATATGATTCGTACAAATAAAATAAAAAGATTTTTTCAATGGAAGTTTTAACTGACGAATTACAATTTTTATGACTTCAAGGAATATAAAATATTTTCTCGTTCCACAAAACCTCATAAAAAAGTTAAATTGATTTAACAAGAATCGGAAAAAGGACCCAAAAATGAAATAAAAACTTCCTAAAATTTTGATGCACTTCCTAAACGCATCACAATGTTGCTCGACAATTGTTGTCTCGTAGCAACACTAAGGCAACCAAACGACAAAGAAATGCAGAGAACGACATGAATTAAACATGCAACATGTGCCACGTCACATAGCAAATACATTCAATACAGTCACACAAAAATATTAAAGTAAGAAAGAAACAACGAAAAAAGTTTCTAGGTTTCAGTCTTGAATTATTCATTGTTGAAAGAGGATGTATAGTCGTGCGTTAAAACTTTATTTTTAACCTTCATTTTTTCGGTAAAGTCGTGAAAATTTTAATCCGATTTTCAGTTGACACGCTTTTATTAAGTTTGCTTTTTGTGAAATTCTTGCGTGATAAGTCAAAGTTGTAACTTGAAAAAAATTAAAACTCCGCACTGAGTTAATATATTATTCATGTGCCTCTCCATGAAATGCATTAATATTGTGTTTAAAGTGAATACATACAAACTTTGAAATACAAAAGCGATCGTAAAAGGGTCAAAATTGTGATTATAACAATAAGGCAACATACAAATCACCCACAACCGTAGCCTTTAAAGCATCGAAAGAATAAAAAATCGATTGATACCAAATTATATCGTTCGTTAAATAATTTAATTAGAGTGCCTTCGACGAGACAGAAAGTTTAATGAAGAAAACAGCGAAGTTAAAGAATCTTTTTATTTAGATATTTTTGCTTCACGTTTATGTGTTTAAAGTGCAACGACAAAAATTCCTTTCGAGATTTTCGTAAAGCGAAGTAAAAGAACAAGAAGAGAATTTTAAAAGCGAAACACAAGAAAACGAATGAGTAGAAACTAGTGGATCCGGTTTTTCTTACATCTGAGTCTTTTTGCTGGTGTTTCATTCTCGTGTGTTGTGAGCCTCGTCGGTTGTTTATTTACTTTTGAATTCTTCTAAAGTTTTTTTGTGGCTCATTGTTTTGTGCCTTTTTTTGCTGCTGCCTTCTCTCGTTGACTGCTAAAGACATTTAAATTCGTTATAACGAAAAGAGGAGAAGTGAAAATTATTATGGCGAGGAATTCCATCGATTAATAAACGCTGTTTCTCTTTTAATCTTCGATTTGGAAGAAGCAACAATCAACGGTAATTTATATTTTCGGCGATTAAATGTGACGGATTGGAGAATGATTTGTTTGATGTGCACAGACGTAAGCAAAGAAAATAAAATGGTATTGTTTTTCCATCAATGAAATCACATCTGTGAATCAAATGATTGCTCAGTAATGGTTACAATTCGGTCCCCAAACGATAATTGCACATAAAGTCATAAAAAATATTTTTATGGTCGTTTTTGTTGTTCCTTCTGTTTGTGTTGGAAGCAGAGAGAAAGGAGAAAAAAATTGATTACTTTTATATGACTCATGAAGCTTCTCATTGTGGAAACTTTTCTTAGACTTTTCATGAAAATTTCTGATGAATTTTAAAGTGAGTCTTCGTGAGAGAATTTAACAAGCAATTAAGCAAAGACTAATGACATTCCAAGAATTATTTAAAACATTCCATTTATCAAAATTTGAACTTTCAACCTTCTCCCTCTTTTCATTTTATTATCAACAATTTAACATTTATAAATAAGATAAATTTTTGTATTTTCCCTTCTTAACACATCATTTTGCGTGGATTTTCCCATGACATTTTCATCTTAAATAATACAATGAAATGAGAAGAAAAAAAACTTAAATCTTCAATCCCCGATAAAGTCGTAAAATTTGTCTAAAAATAAAATCTTAGAATGACATAGAACAGCTCTCTTATTGACTTAGTGCACATTTGATGGTTTCACACACATTAAACTTCATAGCATCGACGTGAAGAGCTATAAATAAGGATTCTGTGATCATCTTTTGTTCTCATTACAATTGAAGATGTTTTATTTCTAAGTAAAAAGTGCAATAAAAAGTTGTCGAAAATCTATTCATCCAGAGACGTTTTTATGGAAATTTCGAATCACTAAAGAAGTCATAAAAGTCGTCAATGAAAACCAGCTGCCAATTTGTAATAAAACAATTATTCGTCGACCCCAAAGCAACTTGGAAATGAATGTGTGGCAGGAGATTTGTACATGAAAAAAAAGAAACAAAAGACAGATCCATGGCAACCTTAAATCGGCACAAAGAAACCATTCGAAAGTCCTAAGTCAGGCAAAATTCATAAACAAAATTTTTATTATTTTTTTCCCTTAACTTCACTCAAAGAATCATGATTATGTTTTATGATTTAATTTTAATTCTTACAAAAAAAAGATCCATCCAGAGACTTCCAACTCTTTGTCGACAAAAAGGGTTCAACATTGGAAAGTTCTCATGCTGAGATGAAGTGCTTCTAGTTGTTTATGCAAAAAAGAATTCTTTCCGACATTGATTCCCATTACATCAATGACTCACTTCATCATCTCGATGGGCTGTCTCATTATGCTCTTTATCATGCAAATGGAAATGCATTTTAATGATGAAATCATAATTATTAACAGATCAATGAGTTTATCCACAATCCTTGAAATTCGATTTATTAATATTTCATTCCAATAATCGAACTTGATTTTAAAACCTTTTTTTTTTCTTTGCTTATCTCACTTAAATATTTAATTAACCGTCATGTGTACATTAAACAATATCAAATTCAAGACAAATTCACTGATAAGAGCTAAACGCCCCAAGTCTGATAACAAAAAAATAAAATATCAGAAGTGTGTGCGACTCTTATAATGTAATCGCATCTTTAACAATAAAACAAAAATGTTCAATTTATGAAAATATTCGCAGTGTGTGGAATAAATAAGACGAAATACGTTTGTCGTTTACCGAATGCAAAAGTGATAAAAGAAAATTTTGTGAGGTGATAAGAGAGAATAAAAAAATGGCTATGATGATAGAAACAGCTGATCAAACAGCAACATTCGGTGATGACTCAACTCGAAGAAGATCAACGTTTTACGTTCCTTTGGGATCGACAGAAGATTTAAGTCACGATGAAAATGATCGACACAATAAACATGTCAATGATGAAATTTACAATCCAAATCTTAGCGGATATTCGTGTGATTGGAGTTTGAATGATTCAATTGAAAGCTCAGAAATGATGACAGTGTCACGAGAGAAATCACAATTGAGCTGTGATGACAGCAATCGATTGAAAAGATATGGAATCGTACTAAATGGAAGTGTAAACATTGATGACAGTAATTTGGAAGTTCACGCAAATCACAAACGTACGAAATCGAAAAACTTGACATCATCAACTCCCATCAAAGATCCAGCGAAATCGAAACAGAATGAAGTGTCTGAGTCATCACCAGTCGCAGCTGCGACTACAACAACAAATCCTATTAAAGAGAAATCAAAAACGCTTCCAATGAAAGAGACGCAAATTACTTCTGCTGCTTTCCCACCAAAAACCTCCTTCATTCTTAAATCAACACCTAAGATTTCATCGTCAAACAACAACTACTCGTCACTTTCAGACACATCAGCACTCATACAATCAGAAAAGAAAACGGTAGCAATGCCAAAAAAGTCGTTGAGCTTCATCCGGCGTACACACTCAACAAAATTGTCACGTAACAATTCGCTACTAAAATCGTTGACGTCGAAGTGTGTTGAGCATTCGAATGAAAGTTTATCAGTGAACGTTTATGATTTATCGGTCGAACGACTGGCACTGTACCTGAAGGCAGACAATTGTGATGATTTGATGAAGGAGCTTTTCTTCCGAGAATTTTTCGACACGTCTTCGTCAGATAGCTGTGGAAAATGTCCTAAAGAAAATGATGATGACGATGATGATGCTGCTGCTCTCTCAGGTAAGAAAAACGAAAATAAAATTGATTCTAATGAATGATAATTGAAGTCAAAACGCGTCTGTGTATGAAGCCATTAAAAGGAAAAGTAAATTTGGAAAAATGATATTTAATTTTTGAGAGAAGGGAAAAGTTTGTTTTCGAGATACAAATCGCAAAAGCAACTCGTTCATAAGGCACAATTGACATTTACTTTGGCTTCCTTTTAAATATAGACGGCAGATAAATATTCCGTTACATGACGAGACTTCCAACTCATTTAATATCAAATGAAAAGTTATTAAAAGTTGACGATTGAATTTATGAAGTCATTAAGAATCTATAAGGAAACGAATAAATATTCAAATCGATTTACATATGGTTGTTTATTAAACATCTAATTGATTCAAACATGCAGATAGTCATCGTCGTAGTCATGAAATAAAACGACAACACTTTTGTTTACATTTTTTTTATTATTATTTTGTTGAGGGAAACAAATTCTTTCGTTCTCTTCTTCTTTCCATCCAATAATCAACTTCCTTTCGTTCTTCGCGTAAATATTAAAAATTTCTCAATCACCAACTGCAGACACTTTGAAAGTCGATAGAAAAAATTATTTCAAAGTCATCTTAACGCTGTCGTTTAAATAATGAAGGAAAGAAGAAGAAGTAAAAACGTGAAACTGTTTGACTTGTAATGCGATACATTTTCTCGCTGTGAAGCTCATCAATCTCTTACTTCATCCTTGTCTTGTTTGCATTTGCCGTCATCATCATGACGGTATCGTAAATGAGATAATAGAAGATGAGATGAAATTATAACAACAACATCTACATACACCCTCACAATTCACAAATCGAGAAATTGGAGAGAAACATCTTTTGATCTTATGTTGGTTGGTTGGTTGATAGATCGTACGAGATGGGAAATTAAGTTCGTTAAGGAAAATTACTAAGTAAATAGTTTGCTTCATGGGCTATGAAACGTGAATGAAATTAACATAAATTTAACAGCACTATGAACATAACTAACAAAGTTTTCAAACTTAACATTAGACATCATAAAACGAACATAAATAACACAAATATTGAATCAGTTCGGGTCAGCATGAAGCTTGTCAGTTCCTTGTACGGTCTTTATGATGTCCAACCAACACCATTTCTAGCATTTCTTCTGTTGAGTTCACTTTTAAGGCCTCACAAGATAAAATCAAATGCTTATATGGGAAGTAAAAGTTCATTTGCTCCATCAACGAGAGACTTCGTTTCATTTATGTGGTCTTAACGAAGCCCATGGTGTTAAGTAAATAAGCGTGACATGAAGCATGAAAAAGAAGTAAAATGCTTGAAGAATGTTGTGAAAGATTGTAGGGGCGATGGAAGAATCAGTCAGTCAGTCAGTCCCATCTACTTAATCTCCAACATTTTTCTTCAACATTTAAGAATGTGCAACACATGTTAGAATCAAAATCATATTTTGAAATCTTTCTGGCAAATGACAGAGACAACTTTGAAGACCTGAACCGACTTAAAATTCTCTCATCTTCCATTAAATATTCAAAAGATTTCTGCTTTTTTTGTTGATGTTGTTCATGCCTAACTCAACCCAAGATAGAACGAAAAAAAATCGTTTTGACAAATCTTAAAATGCTTCATCTCAATGAATTTATGAGATAATGGTCCAAAGCCAAAAAAAAATTAAAGATGAATATCAATTAAACATCTTTAAGTGCCACTCGTAAAAAAGAAGAAAAGGAAGAAACAAAAAACACATTTGAATAATAGTTTTGTTTCCCCTTTTTTGTCATTCAATTGTTTGACCAGTTTCTGATGCATGATGTGCTTTGTAACGTTCCATAATTTCCGTTTAGCCGGTAAATTACAATGTAAGATGTAAAATGCAATCTTCTCCCTTTGCTGGTTGATTAAAATTCCAAGGGACCTTTTAAAAATTTCTTTCCTTTTTATTTCGGGACTGGCCAATAATGTTTCTCTCCTATTCATCAACCTTCAACTGTAATTTATTCAAAACAATTTAAATGTCGAGAAAAAGTCACAAATTTGAGTTTTATTGTCGTAAACATAGATATTTAGTATTAAACACGTCTTTTGTGAAAGGAAAATTTTCTTTCGGGTAGGAAATTAACTGAATATCTCGCAATTGTCCGGACAAAGCGCAGTTGAGCGGAAAATAGACAAAAAAATGAAATTCAGTAATTTTCCTAACACGCAATCTGACATCTGTTCAGGTTCCATTAGTCGCTTTTAGCACCATCAGGAATCATCCAATAAAGTTCCATCCGTCAATCTAATTTAACGTTTCTGACAATGACAACTTCTTTCGACAAAAGAAAATTATTTCAATTAATGAGACACTTACGAAGATGGTACAGTAGAAAATTGAAGTAAAAGCGAAGGGTTCATGACAAGCAAACGGCTTGTTGTCGTCAAGAAAGAATTTAAAGATATGAGAAATTAGGTAGAAAAGATCACAAACAGCACAACACAACAAGCATGGTGTTCCACTCGAGTTGTTGAAGCGGCTTAAAAGTAAATTTAGAAAACGAGAGTTCATGATACCAGAAAAGTTGCTTTTTCGATGATTGCGATGGTTGAAGAGTCGACTCGACATAATCCACATGAATGGTTCCATTATGGTTTTAATGAAGTGAAAAAAAAAGTTTCTGGAATCTTTTCGGTATTACAGCATTAAATAAGATGTTGAATTCAACAAGTTTGATTGAAAATTTATAAAAAAACATTCATAACAAACAGATTTCAGTCTGAAATAAGATTTGGACATCAAAAATATAAATTTTCCTTTGCTATGCTAAACAATCATCACAAATCATCTTTCGGTTCTCGTCTTTTCCTTTCGATTAAACGATGCGGTTTCATACAACACCCACAGAAGGGCCAAAGAAGTCTTCCGAAAAATAACAAAAGTAAATTGAGCGAACAACCACATGAAAGAACAATTTAATCAAACTGAAGATTCAAGGCGAACCTATCATGATTCATTGTAAACACGCGGGCTCTTCAGATGTCCATCAAAGCCTAATTTTCTAAAGAATTATTGAAACGTACAATGATAAGCGACACGACAAGAAAGAAGAAAAAAAATTTCAACCAACATATGTGAGTTGAGAATTGTCGGTGCCTGTCACTCACTCAAAAAGTTTTAAATTTGTTTTTTACTCATTTCTCTCATTTCGTTTTTATGAACTTGTTTCATGGCTGTCGTGGAAGCTGGAATCAGCATCATTAGACCTCCATTCGTGCTTTGCATTCACGACGCTGTTTTCTTCGTTAATACTTGTAATTAGATTCGACATGGTGTGGCTTAGGCTTGTTGCTTATTGCGTAATAAATGTATATAAAAACGAAACTGGAATGCCAGTAGTAATAAACGAAATTCGTTAGAGACTTGCCTTGGAATTTGCTTGCGAGAAAGAAATTTTTCATTTTTTATGTCGATGCTTATTTAAGGGTGTGAAGAAATCAAAGAAATTAACTTTAAAAGTTTCATAATTGACAACGTGATAAAATCTTGATTTAGTTCTCGTTAATTTTTCTTCTTTCCATGGAAATCGAAATACCTACTTAAAGTTGGGCTGTGTCGTTTGATTTGGTTCTTGATTATAGCTTCAAATCGATCGATAGATCGTGTCATAAATTATGTCGATGAAAAATTATTGAGATTTTCAAATTAATGTTTTTTATATCTTGCGTGCATTAATTAACTGAAAGTTTAATGATCACGATGGAGCCATGAAACGATTATTGACCGAGAAGAAGGAATTTCTTTCCGTCAACAGCTATCTGGCTTTAGAGACGAGACAAATGCGAGATAAAATTGTGGAGATTAATGCGCATAAATTTCATATCAAACTCGATGATTGTTTGCAGTTGAGTCAATTGACACAACAAGACTTTGAGAAAGAAGCTTGCGGTAAACTTTCACTCTTTTCAGCACCACCAATCGGAGATTAACGGACAATGTAATACTTTTGTTTAAGAGTGACAGCTTCATAATAATTAAGAAGGAAAAAAAATTAATCTACTTAAAAAATGAACTGGAAATAATCCAATTGAAGTGAATATTGAGATCACAATGTGTTATGCAAATGAACATTTTAGAAATTAATTACACGGTTGGTTAGAGCGACATGACGATCATAAGGGAAAGTTTAATTATTTGTCAAGCGTCTAAAGACACCAGAAGTCTAACGAATTGCAAATAAATTCCAACGATGTGAACGGGTCAACAAGATAAGAGAAAAAAATGTTGATGAACCAATCAACAAAGCGTCGTTGCCAACTTTCTCAATGTTTGTAGCTCTGTAAAGCAACAAACATAAATTGAGAATGACGATGGAATATGTTTTTGTTTATACATTTCAATTGCATCAACAAAAAGTGATTACCGAGTATTTTTTAGTTGAGTTGAGAACAACGAAGTTGAGTGAAATGAAATATTTGCCTCAGGCTTTTAAGTGATAAAAAAGCTAATACACCCTTGACGACGATAATAATGATGATTTCTGTATCTTAATGGCTGCTACTTAACTTCTTGTTATTAAAGTAATGGACAGAAACCAAATCTAAGCTTACAAAATTTTGCCAATTTCCTGTTTAAGTTCTTCACGTAATCCATAACATTTCTCGCTTTTCAATTAGATACTTTTTGATGTTTCGCAATCAAATTTTTTGAGTTACTGTGAAACAGCATCACATCAATTTCACAAGTTCGTAACAAAATCTGCTAATTGCTTCGCGGGTAGATAAATTTAAAAAGTTGTCGAATGTTGTGGAGTCGACGGATGACCTCAATTTGTGTTTAATATTTTTTTTCGTTGTTCAAATCAATGGAAATCAAATGAAAAAAGTTGAAGCGCAAGATATTGACGGTAACATTTGTTATGGAGATTAAAAAGTTTCAATTTCATTCAACAATGTCAAAAGAACGAAAAAAGGTCTTAGATGCGCGTGGGAAATGAAATCAAAACCGTGTTCTAATAATAACAAAAAATCCAACGCAATACATTTCTTTGTTTGCTTTGAGACGTATAATTTACTTTTAAATGTTTGCAAATATCAAAAAAATTTCTTATTTATCTTGTATGTTAATTAATACATCTTTTCTAACGCCAGAAAGCTATCAAATTATCGTAAAAGTAACAATTAGAATCCAAGTCACATCATATAACAAACACCGGACACATAAAGTATCAAGTCAATTTCCGGCTTCATCCACATTCGTTGCAAGTTAATAAAATAAATTTTACGACTTTTCTCATTAGAACAATGGTTGGATTGGCTTCCAATTTCGATAATTGTGCGAAACAGACTCCCGTTCATTGTACGCTTTTAACTCGGATATTAAATTTTAACTTACTCCAGAGCTTATGTATTGAAACCGTAAATTTTATTGACTTTTCAGAGTCTCTTTCAGCTGCTATTGTTGATGTCTACTTACTTTTCCATTTGAATTGTTTTCGACCGTCACTTGGCCTCAATTTTCGTTAATTTAGAATAACACAAATGCCGGTAATAAGAAGAATTAATTAACAGAATAATGTTGAGAAAGCAAATGTGTTAAACACATGGATCATTGATATGATCTCATCGGAAGATGTCTCAAGGCGAAAATGTGTTTTTGCTTTCAAAGCTTCTTGTAAACATTGAATAAAAGGAAAAAAAAAGAATTTCTTGTAAGCAGCGAAGCATATAAAAGTCGCCAACTAAGTTTTATTGCGCAATCATTAATAGAACATCAACAATCCTAATTCTTATAATTTACATCTGTCTTTGATGGCTTTTTTTTTAATTTTATGCTTTTTTCAATGAGAATGAAAATTGTTCTACTTACTAACTTGGGCTTGGCCGTCCGAGAATCGATGTGAAGAAGTAGAAAAAAGATGGAATTCGAGAAACAGAAAGCAGATGGGATCGTTGACTGAATAAATGAATGGATGGACAATGGTGGTTTGGTTGTCTATCCAACCAAGATTAGATTGTGATCATGCGTTCGTTTCTTATTTTATTATTATGTTGTTTAAGTCATGATGGGTTTTTATTATTTATGACCTAAAACAAGCCGCCACTCCATCAGACATTCTATTTTTTTGTAGTTCATTTCAGTTCAGTTGTTATAAATACAGTTGTGGAAGATATTTAAATACCAACAATAATGTGATAAAAGGATTTTTGCGCGGTAACCAACTTTTATCTCCTTTCATTCCCTTCCTTTTCATGAGAGACTTCTTTTGTTACCTTTGAAGTCGAAAAAAGGGTTTCTTAATGTTTCACATTGCGGTGGTAGGATGGATGACTTAGTTTTCAGAAAGAAAGTTTCATCTTCCTCAACTTATTTGAATAATTATAATCATTGGTTTGGAATGGATAAAGAAAGTGATAGATAAAGGAAGAAAATGAAAGATAAATTTGTATTCATAACAGATTTATTATTCAAATTAATCAATCTTTGGATACATTTGAAAGTTTTCTATGAATTAGAAGTTCTTATTATTTGATATGGTCAGGTTTTCATGTTAATATTCTATCCATTACATGCGACATTGAAATAAAGTTATCACAAGCACACATCGCTATTCTATTCATGTGTAAAGTAGAAGCTGTCACGTTATTCATTCTTCGAAAACATTATGCTAATGAATTATGAAATTCATGCGGAATTTTCTCGTCATTTGCCTGGGGGGATGAGAAAGGGTTGAAATTATTTCACACGCAGTTAAAACTTCTAAACAATTGTGAATCGTGTAAGAAGGTCACCGGAATGAATTTCTTCTTCTGCTTTTGGTTATGAACATGAACAGCGAAGAATAAAAGCGAGGGGAAGTTGAAGTTGAGTAAAGAAGGAAAAAACTTCTTCCGTTGATGATTTCATTAAAAAGATTTCTTTTCCTTTTTGCAAAAAAAAAATCAATTTAGCAAACTGAAGGGCACTTGAGATAATCTTGAAATCGGCTCAATGCTTCCATTATGATGGACGTATCAAAGTAAACTGAAAGCATTACTTCATGAAAAATTAAAAAACTTTACCTGTGAGGATTGTGATGAAGACGACAAATGCCAAAAAATTATCTCGTCGAAGTAAACCAATTAAAGATTTCAAGTATCCATTTTCTCATCAATGATGTCCTTTAAATGATTTGAGTCGTCATTTTAAGAAAACAAAACAAATTTGTTGAATGTTTTCTTAAAATCTTTCGAGAATATAAATTACGAAGCACAAGCAAGAGAAAAAAAACAGATAACAATGAAGAATAATATCGAATTACAATCATAAGCTCAGCAGGTTTTGAATTCCACAAATCTTAATCATCGGTTTGGTCTGTAAATTCGTTTGAAACATTCGATCAATTGTACAAAAGTATAAAAGGACAATAAACGATTTCAGTTTCTTCTTGTTAAGTTTCATACACGATTTCAACTTGATCTTGACTCAATATCACGAACGAGAAGCAAAATCGTTCATATTTATTACAATTGATCTTACTTCTTGTTCGTTTATTAACAATCAACAGTTGGCGGTTATTTTCGCGCCTTACTTCGCATAACTTTTTTTCCTTCTTTTGAACTCAATAAATAAGAAGACAAACCGCGAACATAAGATTAAAGTTGTAATGTTTTTTCTTCTACAGTTTAAGTTTAATAATCTCGCAATTTTGCTTTGGCCTGTTAGTCATTCGAATAATTTCATCGTGATCTAATCAGTAAACGAGATTCCATTATTTAGATTTCCGTCTTTTTTGTTGAAATTATTTAAATCTCACAAAACGATTTCACTCTTTCCTTCCTTCTTCTTCGATTGCTTCTATTTGATTAATTGATTGAATAATATAAGAATCTTTAATTAATAAAAATGTAAACGATGATGATTTTACAAGCCACGATGATTATTCAAATGAAGATTTTTGTTTAATTTTTTTGTTCGTGCTACTGAATTTCTTTTTCTATCTTCCGGACTTCGGAAAGAGGCCAATGAATTGTGCGTGAAACATGAAGAAGGGTCAGACTGAGAATGATGAAGATGGAAAAGATTGATTAATTGTGTGGCGGTTGTAAACGACACCAACACTAACACACACACATATGCTTCTCGCCTTTAACATGACTTTGAAAAATTCTTTATTGAAGCATAAATGAAAAGCATTAATTGACTTTTCCTGTCAGAATATTTTTGAATGCCATGGTCATAAATAAGTTTAACTAAAACATAATGAATAGAATGAAATATTATCTCATGAAACTTGAGACAATTTTAATAAACAATTTTTTCTTTTTCTTATATTTTTAGACACATCATATGAGAAAGCATGCCGACGCGGATCAGCACCAAGCACTCCAATGCTTACGCAAAAACCTGAATCATCAGCATCGCGATTCACAATCTTTTTCTCGAAACGGTGAGTAAATCTATTTCTTTGAATAGCTTAATAGATTACTTTTTTCGTCCCTACTTAATTTAATTAATCAAGCACTTCATGCACAAACTTCATTTCATTTAATGAAAGAAAAATTTTCTTTCTATTCACTTTAATGGATCAAAGAATTTTTTTTCCGTTCGTTGACAAGAAGAAATTTGTAAATAAAAATTTTTCTTTGATTCATGAAGCGATTGCACAAAATAATCATAAAAATCACGATAATCAATTAACATTCTGATTCTCATTTCTTTGGCAAATTTCGCAAATTAATTCAGTCTGAGCTCGTTTAGATCAAATCCATTGAAGCGAACGAAATCGGTCACAAAGTTGGAGAGAACAAAACGAGGGAATGGAAGTGGCGGCAGTGGTGGTGGCGGCATTAGAGGATCGAGATCTCACGAGAGTTTACTCTCAACGAATCACGCTGTCATGTCGACAATCGGTGAGATGAACATTGGAATTTACTTGTTGAATTATTAATTTATTAAAAATATTCTCTCAACAGATTTATCAGTCATTGGAGCTGTTGGTGTCGCACCAGTTCACTCATCTGTTCTCGGACGTCGTCATTGCTTTCAAGTTCGGGGTGGACCTCGTGGGGAACGTTACTACAGCTGCGGATCACGACAAGAACGTGACTTGTGGATCTACAGTCTACGAAAATCAATTCAACCGAATGCTGAAAGCATGCGACGTACCGACAATTCACTTAAAATGTGGATCTATGAAGCAAAAGCTTTGCCACCAAAGAAGAAATATTTCTGTGAGATTTGTCTCGACAAGACGCTCTACGGTCGAACGTCAGTTAAACTGAAAACCGATCTGTTATTCTGGGGTGAACATTTTGACTTTCCCGATATACCTGAAATCAACGTCATTTACGTGAACGTTTTTCGTGAAGGTGAAAAGAAGAAGAAACGTGATAAGCACGTTTTAGTCGGCACAGTAAAAATTCCAATTCATGAAGTCACGAGTCGAACGTTTTCTGAAGATTGGTATCCGATTCTCTCCGACAAACATGACAGTTTGAGCAAAAGCTCAGGAAAGGATCCAATTCCAACGCTTCGAATCAAGTGTCGCTTTCAAAGTATTGACGTTCTACCGCTTGAAGTTTATTCACCGTTTCAAAGTTACTTGAAGGAAAACTATAAGAAGATTTGCGAGGGTCTTGAACCGGTCATTGGGGTGAAGGCTAAAGAAGACATTGGACAAGCTTTGGTGCTGTTGATGCATCATCAAGGAATGGCAGCTGAATTTCTAACAGAAATCATTACGTTAGATTTGCTTCGTGTTGGTGATCAACGTTTGACCTTCCGTGGAAATTCATTGGCAACAAAGAGCATGGAAGCATTTTTGAAACTTACTGGCGAGCAGTACTTGCAAGACACGTTATCAGCACCAATTAATGAAATTATTTCATCAGAAAGAGACTGCGAAGTTGATCCATTAAAAGCAAATGGTTCGCTGTCAAGACAACAACAATCATTAAGAAGTGCAGTGAAGCTGGCTTGGAATTCAATTGCTGAAAGTCACCGACATTTTCCAACACAACTTCGAGAATGTTTTACAACGTTCCGTGAACGATTGGAAAACATTTCTCGTGAAGATATGGCTGACAATTTAATATCCGCAAGTATTTTTCTTCGCTTCCTTTGCCCCGCAATTTTATCGCCGAGCTTATTTAATATTACAAATGAATTGCCTTCGCAAAGAGCAACACGCAATCTTACACTGGTTGCGAAAACACTTCAAACTCTCGCAAACTTTACAAGATTCCAAGGAAAGGAAAATTTCATGGAGTTTCTTAATGATTTCCTTGAACAAGAAGCGCCGAAAATGAAGGAATTTTTAATGAAAATCTCAGTGAGTTAAAAAAAATTCCATCAAATGATAAAGTTAATTAAATTTGGATTATTTTTTCAGACTCGAATGGACCATCAATCATCCGACTCTATTCTTGATTGGTCTGGTTACATTGACCAAGGAAAGCAATTGTCGATTCTTCATTCTTTACTTGTTGAAAATTTCCCAAAACTTCCCCAACAAAAACAAAATGAAATGTCACAACTCACTGCAATATTAGATCGAATCAGTCAGATTAAAGAATTGACAGAGAATAATTATCAAAGACATTTAAGTGAACAGAACTTTATGTCGATGGAGAGACTTAATGGACATCACAAATCTTCAACAAGTTCTTTACATACATCGTCGAACCCACCAACAGGTGAAAGAGGAATCATGAGAGGTGTTTTAACACCAAATTCTTTGCAGAAGAATATTGTGAGTAAAATTCATTATTTAAGAGATTTATTCAAATTAAAAATCAATTTTCCACACAGTTCTGCTATAATGACCCAACAGTTTATTCATTGCTTAATGGAGGTGATCAAAAGATGGCCTTTAATCCTCTTCAACATTCCCATTCAACGTCAAGTATCCAATCATCACATCAAAACTTATCGACGATGAACAACATTACAAACAATAATAATGTTCAACATCACAATATAACAAGCACAAAACGAGATAATTATTATCAAGTTACAAGCAGTTTAGCTCGTAATGAGCCGAAAAGCCCTGCAGGTTCTTCAATTAGAGCTAATACATTGCCTCGAAACAATCAGCAGATACAAAACGATGAATCAAACATTATTCAAATTGGATTAGATCCAAGTAATCCATTTTCGAGGAAAAGTCCAACACCAAGAATTCATCAAGGCACAGGATTGTTGACGACAACAAATGGAAATGGAAAAATTCCTCCTTACAATGGTCGTCAATTGAATGGATCACAATTGAGCTTGTTGAGTGACCGATCACAGCATCAGTATTTCCATCCACCACAACATCACCATGTGCATCGTACAAATGGCTTAAGTCTTGGAATTCCACATCAAGAAGCTTCATCTTCATATGAATCACCGAACAGTAACATGCCAAGAGACTTAGAAGATTTTGATGATCTGATTAAATATAGTGAAGAAGTTGAACAACGTCAACAGCAACAACAACCGCAACATCACAATCACCCTAGCTTGAAGGGAAAAGGCAGCAACGTTTCAATTGGTGGACATTCATCTGGTTACCAATCAATTCAAACTCAATCACAGAGTTCAAGTCCGATTGAAATAACGACTACAAATGGTGTTAATAATAACAATAACAACAGTAACAGTAACAACGCACCTTCAATAATCCAACAGAATATTGAATTCTTTAATAAAATTCAAGGTTCGAGTTCGTCAAGTAATGCAAGCACAAGTAATCGACCGACAAAATTAAATGGAAAATATGGATACATTAATCCGAAGTATTCTGTTGTTCCACCATTGGCATTTAAGAATCCACTCTATCAAATGCAAAATGGAGCGATTAATAATATCGATGGCAAAAGTTCATCGTTGACGCCCTCAAGCAGTGATGAAAGAATCGCAGCAATCGATGAGAGGCAAAACATGATGAACAATAACAACATCGTATCATCATCAAGCAATGTTCAGGGAATCATTGATTCAGCATCGTTAAACGGTAGAAGAATGGGAAGCAATCGAATGCCAAGAACAAATCCTTTAGCTCAGGTAAGCTTCGAGCGTTTGTTTGCTTTTCTCTTTCTTTAGTTTGAATTTTTTATTTCTATTCACAGTATAAACGAGATGATGGACTTTACGACAATCATTTGAATCATCAGAATAATAATAACAATAGTAATAGTCAGTTGGCTTTCTTCAATAATCGATATGAACGTCGTCTAAGTGTTGAATCAGCAAGAACACTCTCAGATAGCTCAACTGATACTGAAGGAAAAATTCATCACAAGGAAAATAAACGTAGGAAGAACAAATCCGATAAGTCAATCGAACAATGTGAACGAGAAATTTTCCGTCTGCAATCGAGTGTTGATGTTTTAAGACGGAAGCTTGAAGAGTCAGAAATTAAAGAGACCAGTGACAGCATTGACGCAATTACACATCAAAGTGACAACAAAATACGAAGCATTATATCAAGGTAAGAATTGATAGGAAAAATGAAAGAAAAACATTGAAGGTAAAAATATTTTTTACTTTTATCTTTTCTAGATTGTTGGCGATGGAAGAAGAACTCAGACGTGAGCAATATAAAATGTCGTTGATCATAAATCATAAGCAACGCGTTATTGAAGCACAGGGACAACAAATAGCTGAGCTTGATGCTGCTAATAATCGTCTCCTGACTGAACTATCGTGTTTGCGTAATCGTTATGAAATGAAGAGTGGAATATACAGCGATAAGCAAGCTGTGACTGTCACTGAAGATGATGACACGACCAATTTTTAAATTATATAAGAAAAAAAGAAAACAACCATAAAAAAAGATAAAAATGCCAAAAATATTTTTCAAGATTCACAATTCATGCAAATGAAAAGCTTTTCCTTCTCCACCGTCGAAGGTTTCTTTTGTACATACACTCATGCTTTACTTAAATAGATGACGGTTTATATTTATCAACCAGACATGTGAATAAGGAAAAGTATAAAATTTTTTCATCTGACCATTTCAACTTTTTAAGATATAACACGAAAATTTGTTTTTCTTTTTTTTCAACCAAAGACAAGAGAACAGAGAGTTTTGTTTTTCTCCTCCAGTTACATTAATAAATAAAAATAACTTTAGCGTTAAAGTGAACAAAGAAAAGCTTCGGTAGAAAAAGCTTTTTATAACTTTACAACTCTCAAATGCAAACACTTTCCTGCATTTTCCGTTTAATTAAAAAACTTTTCTTTTGTTTTCATTTATAAAATGAATATGTGGGAGTTGAATATGTAGAGTTGATTATCAGTAATATTAACGCCTAAAATTAATCTTTTTGTAATCCTTCGCGACCGATTTTTGTTTTCGTTTTTTTGCAATTAAAAAAGTCACTCTAATTAAATTATGTAAAACTTTTTTTTTTCTGTTAGAGAAGCGAGTTGAAAGTATTAATTAATGAAGCAGAGAAAATATTATCATTGCTTTTTGTAATAAATTAAATTTGTAATGCAAATAAAATGTGCAGAGTACAATATGCGAGTAAATTTCAACGAAACTTTTTTCCAGGGGTGGGTCGATTAAGGGGCTGACAACTTCGTTGTTTCTTCAAATCTTTTAAATTTCCTGAAAGCGGAATATGAAATTGGCTTCTGTATTAAATTTTCAATTTTCCTGAAAAATCTTCCTCATCATAAGAGTTTTATTGAATTAAAATTGAATTACATTTCATGAAAAGTCATAATCCCGAGCAGTAAAAAGTTTAAAGGAGTGAAAATTCAAACATTAAATTATGTATTCCAATCAAAATATATTTTTATTCATCAGAAAACATTCGCTTCAATATTTCCTGTTAAAAATGTAAAAATGTAACGAGTATTTTTGTTTCAGCGAGCGTGTCGTTTTATATTTCAGGATATGCACTTCCTATTAAATTTTTTCCTCGATATCGATACGAATGTGTAACAATATTGAAATCTTTTCCACCATAAGACAATCTGCAATCTTTATCAGCTCTCAATTCAAAACAAACAGTGTAGATAGCAAGCTCAAGTTCAGGTGATGTTCCAATAAATATTGAATTTGAAGGCTTATTGAGACTGTTCAACGTGAATCGAACCTTTGCTATTTGTCCTTTCTGAAAAGATTACAGAAATAAAACACAATCAATGAGATCATCGCAATTTAATAAAAAGAAAAATTGTCTCACATTTCCTAAATCAATTTTCTTCGTCCAGCCTTTGTAGTCCAAATCACCGGACTTTTCCACTTCACTCATATAAATCCAATTGTGTAATCCAATAACCGTTCCATTCTTCACCTCTGACAAGAAAACATGTTCAAAGCCGCTGCTTCCAATTTTTCCCATGCCACGTGAATAAAGATTAAACCATATTGTCTTCAACAGATCGCGATGGGTTTGCGGATCCGACGTCACGATTCCCTTCTGTGTTAAAAAGTTCATTGCGTGACTAAAGGAAATAAAAAAAGATTTTTTTTACTCTTTTTCATTTAACTTAGTTTGTAACTATTGCTAGCTATCCATTTACCGCATGACGGGAGTCCCTAGAACAGCATCAATAAACTCATCTTCTTCCTTTCGTTCGTTGGGCGAAACGTACTCATTAATTGAAGTATCCTGCTCGTAATTGTTAAACATCATTTTCATCTTCTCTACCGTGTTCAATGTATACAATTTATCATCGATTTTCAACAAACTAGATATGTACATGGTACACAATTAAGGAGATTGAAAAAGCAAGGAAAGTTTAACGAAAATTAATTGAAAAGCTTGAAGGGAATTTCTTACGATTGTGAAGCTTCATCGGTTGTAGCTGAAGAATATGTTCGTCCTTGATAATTCACAGTAACATATTTAAATGGGTTGCTAATGTCTTTTGAGAAAAGTGAGTCGGAAAGTGTCAACAATTCAGCGTCGGTGACGGGACCAGAACTAACTGTTGATGTTTGCACGATAGGTCTTTGCGTTGGTGTTGTCACAATGAAGAAACTTTGTGGTTTCTGTGAGGGACTGCCTGGTACACCCGGTGGCTTTCCCCAGGCATTTGGAATTGAAGGCCCTTGAGATGGTGGCGGGGGTTGGCGACTTGGGGGTTGTGTAGGAAGCGGAGGAAATTCATCTTTTTTCTTTGGCACTCCTGGAGTTGTTGGAGATGTCGCTGTAGGAAAACGAGGTGGTGGTAAAGTTGGAAAGTCGTCACGCGGTGGAACCACTCTTGAGGGTGTTTGAGAAGGAATAGTTTTAACTGTTGTAGTACTTAAAACAGTTGGAATGTTAACAGTCGAAACGACGACAGTTTTCTTCGTTGTCGTAGGTCGTTGAGTGGTTGTTGTAGTTTCCTTATCTTTCGATTTAAAGAAACCTGTAATGGAACTAAAGAAACCCTTTTTTTTCGTCGTCGTTTCAGGAGCTTCAGTCGTTGTGGAACGATAAATTGGCTGTTGTGGATTAAAATCGCTTTCGGAATAACTAAGCGAATGAGTTTGAGTCTGTTGACGATTCATTTGCTGATAGCCTGAAACAAAATCATTAGATTATCTTGTTGAGAATAAGTGGAAGTTAATTAAATTGTATTTCGCATTGAATTGGCATTCTGATCAAGAAAATTAATCGATAATAATGTCGTCTTAGTAATAAGGAAAATTAAGCTTATTAAGGGGATAATATGGAGATGACGTCACTTCCATCTAAGTTTTTTTTCTGTAAATAGAAAATATTCACTTATCCACCTTCATTCATGACACGTGTTACAAAAACTTCACATAACTGTTAATGTAATTTTTTTTAATCAAATAATTCGCTTACAAACGAAAACAGTTTCAATAAACGAACTTATGAAAATGTTGGAAGAAGTAGTAAAAAGATTACGTTTCGTCGCAGTTTAATCGTCATTTTACGTTGACTTGAATATAATTCTCATGATAATCTGAAGCGACCTCCTGTCACCTTTCATTCAAAATGCATAAAGACAAGTTCAAAGCTTTCCATTTCGAAATGTTGATAAATATGAATACCAAAGTGAAATAAACAAAAAACACTTACTTGAATGTACACAGAAAACTAAAACAAACAACAAAGAAACTTTCATATTGTCGATAAAAATTGTCAAAATATTTCAAGAAAAAAAATATTTGAGACGAATTGAACGTCTGAGAGTTTCACTCTCAACTGATCAATGTAAAATATTTTTTGCAAGTGTTTTTCGTTTTCCTTTTTCTCAGAGACTTTAAGTGACTTTAAAGAGATGAGAAAGAAAAAAATTGTGCTCGTGTGTTTCGAATCTCTCCAACTCCACTTTTATTGGTATGTAGAAATTGTTTACCTCAACAAATGGTCAATTTAGTTGAGCGGTCATTCGTGCTATCGATGGGACAACATATTCTATCTTCTTATTCTTTCTTTTTATTATCTAATATTTATTCAAGATGTCGACTAAGAAGGCATGAAAACTTGCCCCAATTTGGAATAATTGATGAGATGTTTAACTCATACTGATGAAATTCGGAAAAAGGAAAACGTTAAAGCTTGTGATGAAAAGAAAAGACGACAAATAAATATCTTCATCTCCTTCCTCATGAAAAATGCTTTGAAATGGGAAACCTTTTGCATTTAACAAAGCGATGACTTTAAATCTTAGTTGAAAGAAGGCAAGTAATGGTGTTCCTTACATTGATGAGTCATTTTCAACACAACTAAGCAAGACGACTACATTTTCTCTCGTTTAACATTAATCATTCAGAAGCTCTAGTGAGCTTTTAGTTTTGACGTTTGAGGCCACCGAACTTCAACCTGAAATGTTTTCTAAATGCTTCTTTCCGGTATTTTGTTTGCACAGCTATAAAGGTTAAAGAAATATTTAATTTTTATACGAAAAAAAAGTCTAATGAATTCATAATTTATTCTTTTTTTCTCGGTTTCATTCATTCAACATTTTATTTTCCTTCTATTTTTCTTTTATCTTCTTAGTTAAATATTCATGTTTTTCTTTTATAATTTTTCATCATATCTATTATAAATATATAGTAATTAAGATTTGCATATATATTTTCAGATGATAAACAATTTTCTTTTTTCTTCTTCATATCTCTTCAACTTCACATTCATTCCTCGAATGGAATCAACGAGTGCGAAAGTTTTCATTTTCATTCATAGGAAGAAAATTCGATAAAATACTTCTCGAGATTTAATATTATTTTCTTCTGTTATAAAACAGAAAAATATTTTTTATCTTTTTCATTAGGAAAAGGAAAACTTGTTTTATAACTTTTTGCTTCATTGTTCAATTAAAACGAACATGTATACATTCACGACATTGATGTAGAGTTTTAATTGAATTAGTAGCTTAAACACTAATACTTATTATAAATTTATTTTTCTTTCTCATTTATTTCAAGGAGCTTTTTGATTGTAAAACTTCAAAGCTTTTATTTACTTCTAATCTTCACAATTATTTATATGACAGTTGTTTGTAATACGATTTCAATAAAAATTGCCTTCAATAATGATGAGATGGAAATCAATGTCAGAATTATTTATTTACATTGATGATTGAAAGATTGAATTGGAAATTCAGAAGCTTTTAACATAATACAAAGTAGATAATCTGATTTAATTAACATTGTATGATAAAAGTCAATTTAATAGTTTGTTCAATACTTTCCTTTGGAGAAGAAGAAAAAAGCGGAAAATTTCCAGGAAGTCTTCACCAGCATAACTTTTCATTGATTTTCTTCATTTTTCTTTCTTTCTCTACGTAATGAACTGAATTGAACCTTTTACATTGCGAATGGGGACAAGAACGGTGGAAAAGCATATAATTGAATGTTGATTGATGTTTCCTTTATATCAGTCAATATCAAACAATGCTTCCTGCTTCAGAAATGTTAACGTTAATTTATCTTCTTTAAGAAATATGTAAACGTCATAAGAAAATGTTTAGCTCGGTTCCAGTGCATAAATTTTCCATTCAATAATTAATTTTAATTCAATTGAAGTCTTATGAAGTTCGCCATTTTTATTTTGTTCTAAAGAAAATTCTGCAAAATTGTTCGGATCTTATTTAAGCCTGCTTATGGATTGACTGGTCACATCTTCCATCAGTAATGAAACCATTTGATTTTCTTCTTAAACCGATGGGAATTTAAGGTTCATGAAAAACTGTAAAAAGGTAAAGAAACACTTTGTTAAAGCTTTTAGGAAAGAAACAGGAAAAGTTCGCTTATTAGAAACGACGCTTTAATCCTGTTTTAAATACTTTTTATCTTTCTACACCAACTACACCTACTGTTATGTGTTCTTGGCAGGAGATGAATGTATGAGATGAACCACATCTTCCATCAGTAATGAAATCACCTGATTTTCTTCTTAAACTGATGGAAATTTAAGGTTCATGAAAAACTGTAAAAAGCGATGAATGTATGAGCAACTCGACTTTTACATTTTTTATTTATCAATAATTATTTTCCAGCCCTTTGACTTTTGTAGGAAATTAATTTCTTTTCTTCAATTTTGATCACAAACGATAAGAATTATGGTGTTGTTGTTGAAATTGATGTTTTTGATTGAAATTTGTTTCGCTTTCATTTGGTGAATTTTTTTTTCAAACTTTCTGATTGTTTGCTTCTCGAATGATGGTAGAAATATAATTTTTTTTTGTCACTGGCATTAGAGTTTCTAAAAATCTTTTTTTCTAAGGAATCAGGGAAAAGGAAATCGATGAATTTCTACTAGAAATCGCTTAGGTTTTCTGATGGATTGTTTAGAGTTTTCTATGTTAGAACATCACATTAAAGCTTTCAAAAACCACTTAAACTTTTTCAAAAGCCAGGGATTTTTAGAGACACTAGCTGGTATGTTGGCGTCATTGAAAATTATAAACATTTAATTACTTGACTGACAAATATTGTGAAGTTGTGAACAGAGTACAGACGGAGAAAAGTTTTAAATGTGGAAGATTTTTTCATCCGAGTTGAATTAAGGCCAAAATATGATGATGAATTATGGCTGTTATCTAGTTAATTCTTTGGAGAGAAAAGCTTTCACATATGATTGAGTAATTGTGAAATGTTTCATTTCTCTCATTTATGTATGTTCCCCTACCCAAACCATAAACTCCTTCGGTTTTTGTGTCATCAACAATCATCCATTATTAAATTAAAACTTAAGCTCTGCTTTTGATAAGTTAAAGTTATGAATAGAATTATGTCATGTGGTTTGTTCGTTGGTTCATAGAAACAGAAATCTTCCATAAAATACTTTAATTATGTTCAGCACATGTGACGCATGTCTCTAATAATCCCTCTGTTTACCATCCTAAATTTTTACGTAAAAAAAAGTTTATTAAATAAATATCGGTCCGAAAATGGGATGGAAATCAACTATTTTTCATCCTAGAGTCGACATGAATTTACTGACTCACAATTTAAAAGCTAGAAAAGTGTTGATTAAATTTCTCCTGTCATTCATGACTGATTGAGACATGTACGTACTTAATTTGATTAAATAAACACTTACATAAGAGCTTCTGAATAAATATCGTTAGAATTTATGCAATTTGATTCCATTGCGATTCTTGGTAAATCCTACAAATTTTCTTAATTTAATTTTGGCATTTTTTTTACTTTTTCTTCTTGTCTGACATGTCAGATCAATAAATTTCCAACAATTCCAATATTTTTCCCAGTTTCACATTTAGATAATTTACTGCTCAAGTCTCATTTGAGTTCAATCACATTTTGCAATAAATTTCATTTTTTTTTATATTTTTTATAACTTTCGATCAAGAAAAATATTTTTCAATGAAAAAGCTTTTAATTTTAACATTTTTATGATTCAATAATTGATTGTGAGAAATTCTTAAAGAAAGATTGAAACTCGAAAACTTCTGATTTGAATTAAGTCTTGAAAGTTCATCTTCCTTGTAATCTGTTTCGATTCAATGAATAATTCAAACCATTTAAACAAATTGTCTGGTTTAACGACTCTCGAAGAAAAAAAGAAGAATAAGAAAAATTGTCGTAAAAGTTCACGGAAAATTATTTGAGTAATTCAAAGAAACACTTAAATTCTAAGCCGCTTCCTTCCTTCCTTCGTCACATAAATTATTAAGCGACTCATGAACATTATGAAGCGAAGAAACATTTTTATCTGAATGAAACAATAATAAAATTTAAACATTCGCCGTTGTTGGCACTTGTTGTTGATCCCTTTCACAGCACTTGCATACAAATCGTCGAATGTGATGGGTGAATGTCGTCCAATAAGTTTCAGTCTCATCACTTGAACCACTCGAATCGAACTTTTGTTGTCAGATGTCAGGCGCTTCAACTTCCGAACTCATTTTCTTCGATGCGAAAGCGCTGTTGTTCTCCGTCGAATCGTCAGCCTCGTCGTTCTTATTCGATGACAAACTTTTACGACTTCCATCGTTACTACTCGCACCACTACTGTTGTTAAAGTATTTTGTTGTTGGTACATCTAAACTATAAGCACGATGTCTCGCTGACACGTCGTCACTTTTTGTTGCGTGTCCATCTATGGAATTTTTCACATTACAACAAATATTTGGCATCATCATGTTGTTATTCTTTGATGATGAATTTACAGACGCAGGCGATGTTTTTATGATTGTTTGCGTTCCACCACTACTCATTCGGCGTGACTCTTTATCAAATGAGAATGACAAGCGACCGGTCAACTGTCGGAGTCGGGTGATTATCGATTTGGGACTGTTGGGACTACAACTAACGCTACTACTCATTTTAGACTTTAAATTTTTACTTGCTAAGCTAGCAGAATTGTTATTATTATTACTACTATTATTATTATTTGACTGTACCCTGTTTGGTTCATCGCATTCATCATGAGTAACGTCAGACGGGTGATGGACATTTTTTGTCATGGAATCTTCACTCACAAGCAGCTTAACATCAGATGTACCTTGTAAGCTGGAACTCTTCTTGCCGATTGACGCTCGCAAAAGGACATCTTGCTCATTTAAACGCTGATGGTAGTAAACAGTCGAGTCGGACGTGACAGTCTGAATTCCATCTGACATGCGACGATGATTATAATGATCTAGGCTAATCGCACGGTTTGAACCAAATGTACTTGTGCGTGAATTGTAATTATGTTGTAAATTACCGTAAGATCCGCGCACCCGACTCCCCATCTCACTAACCATCGAAGGGCGTTTATCGCGATGATGGCCTTTGCGATAAGTCATTTGCATGTTGTTCAATTTATTTCGGCTTTCCGTATCTACTTTGAATTTCGATGTTTTCTCGGCAACCTGTTGGTTTATATTTTTAAGTGTTGTAGGAATGTGAAGTTAAATTAAACTTACATCAACCTCAGTGGCTGTTTCTGAATCGCCACTTTCACTACCTTCTGGAAGATCGTGAAGTTCGGCAGCAATAAGCATCGTTTCTTCATCTACTGAATTCTTGGAGTTTGATTTTTGTGATGGAATGCTACGACGAGAACGAACACTGATACCTGATTGAGATCGTGGAATGATTTCATCGCCATCAGAAGAACCTTCAGTTTCGGCAAGCGATTTACGATTCTTTTGTGCGGCGTCATTCAAACGTCTTTAAAAGGAAATTCCGCTTGTTTATTTATCTTTTTATGATTTTAGATGAAGAATATTTTTCTACTTACTTATAGAAATCGAGGGCAACTCGAACTGGAATAATGATAAAATCAATAAGCTCCGGAAGCAACTCACCAAGAGCTTCGAAGAGAGGCAAAAGCACCAATCCAATAAATCGCACTTGACTTCCTGGCTTGCTAACTTTATCTGGATCCATAAAAGGTGTCACTGGCAAACCTTCCATCTTCTCAGCAGCACTTTGTGCGAAAAACTCTTGAAGTAAGCGATCAAGCCACGGTTCAGCTACATCCATTGGTCGAGCTTCGTTTGATATGTCAGCTACTTTTATTAGCACCATACAAAGCTGTGAAAAGAGTTAAAAACTTTTTAATTATTCATATCATAAAAGCACGAAATGAAATGTCGCTCGTGTTCTCATAGAAAAATTCTTGAATCCAATTTTTGAACTCTAACAATTGTTTAACAATAAACAAGAAATGTTTTATGATTTGAAAGAGAGTAAGGTTGACGGGCGACAGAACCGAAAGTTTCTGAAACTTATAAAAGTCATGAAAGAAATGGACAATAAATAAAACTTTTTCTTTTCAAACTGTTTAGAGTCGAAAGTCGAGACATTCATTGAAAATTGAAGCGTCGCAA